CTGAGAATCACTGCTCTTTTGCACATGCTTACCAGCCAAGACTATCAACTTTTGCTTTCTAGAATTTGTATTATATTTTAAAACAATTTGTTTTCAATATATTAATAAAATAGAATATGTTTTAACATTTCACCCCCAACCACGAATGTTTCCCCCTTCTCTAAGATTCATTCTGGTAATCAACAGTTTCGTCCATGTCATTTGGCAAAATTAAGGAGTCCTTTCAAAAAGTTAAAACAAATGCAACTATTCTACACTTCACCACTAGGTGTCTCACCGTGCTAGCCTTTGGGAAACTGAGAGGCAAATTGTCAAAAACAAAGTGGAGGGGGGGGAGGTTGGCTAGAAGGGGTGAGTGGGAGTGGGAGAAGGGGGAGATATGTAATACTTTTAACAATAAAGATTTATAAGAATAAAAAATATTACTCCATAAAAAGAACAACCCATAGGCTACTTGTTATAAACAGAAAAAAAAACCTTCCTAAATTTTTTTCCTGTTCATCTACACATTTGAAGTTGCCTCAGACGTGCTATCTTTGTTGTCAACATGGTCATCTTTCTACTATCCTGACATTAGTCTGAAATAAAACTTGGTTCTTCAAAACTAATTTTTAAATTATTTAAAATTATTCATGCCCGCCCTCGCTGGCTTGGCTCAGTGGGCGGAGCCTCGGCCTGCGAACTGCAGGGTCCTGGGTTCAGGTCCCGGCAGGGCGCATGCGCAGGATGGGTTGACCCCCCCCCCCCCCCCCAGTAGAGGTCGCGCAGGAGGCAGCCGATCAATGATTCTCTCATCGCTGATGTTTCCATCTCTCTCTCCCTCTCCCTTCCTCTCGGAAATCAATACAAATTCTTTAAAAAAATAAAATTATTCATGCCAGATCACGGAATTCCCATGGACTTACTTAATTTTACTGACTCAACAGTTCACTGATGAATCCAACAAGCCGCCTCAATATTATTCAGTTTTTCACACCAGGCTCCTGAAAAAGGGTTGAGAACGATTCTCTCTACTGTGCTCTTAGAAAGGAGGGAGAGAGGAAAAAAAAGAGCACTTATCAAATAGGAGAATGAAATACTTAACTATATTAAAACCAAATCTCCTTCGTCTGATAAAGTGGAAAATCTTACCATCCGTAAATCTTGAGCTCTTAGATGCCAAAGTTAAGTGGGTTTCCACACAAGAAAATCTCTCCCTTTGCCTTTAAAATTCATGTCAGAGGAATGCCGCTTAAAGAGAAGAGTTTAGCGAGAATCACTAACCGAAACGGGCAGCAGCCCGGTGACTGCTAACCGTCGAGGGAAAGCAAAGTGCGGCGCAGGGGTTATTTCGAACACTTGGAAAGGCCTAAAGCACATTACATTTCCTCCGGCTTTTCCTGACAACAGGAAACGTAACCGCCTTGTTTCCTCCAGCTAGTGCTGGAACTGAGGAAAAGCCCCAAATTCGGGTTTCTGGGGCCGCAGTGTGAGCGGGGCGCCGACTAGCCTCCCCGAGGTGCTCTGGGCGCGCGCGGCCTGGTAACGGTCTCGCCGCCGCCTCCCTCCCGACCTTCCCCCGCGGGGCGGCTGCGGCCTGGAGAGCCGCTGACAGGCCGAGGGCCAGCGGTGTCACCTGGAGCCCAGAGAGTGAAGGGACGGCTTCGAGGCGCTCCCTACTCCCGGCACCTGGAAAACAAAGTGGGGCGCGGGGCTGAGGGACGCCCCGAGGCTCCCTCTGGGCCCCACACCCCGAGACCCCCACTGCCACCCACTGGAGACCAAGGTACCGCCACACCCACGGGGCCGGACGCCGAGCCGAAGGGCGGGAGGGGAGAGAAGCAGCTCTGCCTGGTGCGCCCGGGAGGAGCCGTGGCCTCGCCCCCAGGGAGATCCGCTATGGCAACGCCCACGCCAGGTTCGCGTGGGGCCGCTGAGCGTCCCTCCTCCGGTTTGAACTGCCCGCCCCGAGTAACCGTTACGCCCCCACCGTCCGCCCCGCCCCTTCCTCCGGCCCCGCCCCAGTCTCTGCTCAGCCCCGCCCCTTCCTCCGCCCCAGTCTCTGCTCAGCCCCGCCCCCACGGGCCTCCCTGCGCCTCTCAGACCCCGCTCCAGTCTTTGCTCCGCCCCGCCCCGCCCCTCCCCGCCCGTGCCCTGCAGGCCCCGCCCCCACAGTCCTCCTGCGCCTCGAAGGTTCCGCCCCCGTCTTTGCCCCGCCCCTCCCCGCAGGCCCCGCCCCCACAGGCCACCCTGCGCCCCGCAGGCCCCGCCCCAGTCTTTGCTCCGCCCCGCGCTCCATCCGCCCCGCCCCAGACTTCGCTCGGGGGATCTCGTCCTCTCCTGCCTACCCTTCCTCCCCACCCAAAGCCGCACGAGGGCTTCCCAATCTGATAGGCTCTTCCTCTCCTCATTCTCACTTTGGGGAGCTTTATAGAGAGGATACTAGGTCCTATAGTGGATGCCATTAAAAACAATGTAGGGGAATATTTACTGGAAAATGTTTCCAGAGACAAGTCCGAAAAGCAGGTGACAAACAGAATGACCTCTTTTAGGTTAGAAGCACAGATATGCGCAGTCTATGGTCTAAAAGGTCTAACTTGGTTACAGTACGTATTTCTAGACAGGATTGTGCTTGGTTTTTAGGCATCTAAAAGCGGATGTTTTATCTTATTTTACTGGGCACCTTTTATAAACCAGGCTTCATCCTTCTCCCTAGTCTCCTTTTCCTGGCTTCTTTTTCTCTGCCTAGTCCCTAAAATGGAATTCCCTACCTCAGCCTTTTCCTTACTTGTACCATTCTGTGCTAACATAGCTCTCCTTCAAAGCTTCAGTCATTACTTTTAAGCCAGTCGCAGCTGCCACCACTCTACTCCGACTGGACATTTCTCCATCTGTTGCCCCTTAGTCATCCAAAAGGACATAAAGTCAAATTCACTAACAATTATTAAGCTCCAACGATGTGCCAATTACTGGTCTGGGTACTGGAAATCCAAAGAGGAGTAAGGCACAGTTACTGCCCCTAAGGGGCTCACTGGTGTAAGTGCTATAAGAGAGGAACAGCAGTGGCCCAAAGAAAGAGGGGTGAGGGGGCAGAGCTAACTTCATAAAGTGAGGTGGATTTTGAAGGACAAGCGACAATTCAAAAGGCATGTAAGCACTGGCCTTTGGGTTCAGTGAGTTGGAGCAGCGTCCTGTGCACCCGAACATCGTGGGTTCAATTCCCGTCAGGGCACATAAAGTTGCGGGTCTTGTCCACGGTTGGGGTCCACCGGAGGCAACTGATGTGTCTCTCACATTGATGTTTCTCTCTCTCTCTCTCTCTCTCTCTCTCTCTCTCTCTCTCTCTCTCTCTCATCTCTCTATCCCCCCTACCTCCTCCCTTCCACGCTCTCTCAAAATCAATGGAAAAATGCCCTTGGGTGAGGGTTAACAACAACAACAACAAAGAGCAGTTAACGTGGGATTTCAAACACAAAGCAAAATGTGAAGGCTCTGGTTGGATGGTTCCGTTGGAGTGTCATCCTATGCAGGAAAAGGCTTTTGATTCCTGGTCAGGTCGGGGACAGGTGATCCATGTTTCTCTCTCACATGTCTGTGTCTGTGTCTGTGTCTGTGTCTGTGTCTATCTCTCTCCCTTATTTTCTCTACCAAACACACACACACACACACACACACACACACACACACACACACACGCCATATCCTCCAGTGAGGACTTAAAAAAAAAACAAAAAAATGTGCAAGATCAGGAAAATTGAAACAGTTGGGCGCATTAGAGAAATTACATTTGTTATAGCTGGAAACAAAGATTTGTTTGAGGCAAAGGCGAAAAAAAAATTCTTGAGAAGAGTAAGAAGCCAAGGCATGGAGAGTTGTCCATGCATATTAACTTCAGTGTCTGCAGGTTATCTTCCAGGCAACGCAGCGCATTTTAGAAAGACTCTGGTGGCAGCATGGTGGGCAGAAGGAAGGGAGGTGAGCTACTGCATTACTCTGGAAGAGAGTGGGGGTGGAGAAGAACCTGGGCTCACATGGTACATTGGCAGAACCACTGCCCGGGGGGACATGGAGTGACTGAAGAGTATAGGTTTTTGAGAAATTAAGACGAATTCAGTATGAGGTTGCTGAGATACCTGTAGGACTTAAGGATTCGTGAATTACACATTCTTTTTTAAAAATATATTTTATTGATTTTTTATGGAGAGGAAGGGAGAGGGATAGAGAGTTAGAAACATCGATGAGAGAGAAATATCCATCAGCTGCCTCCTGCACACCCCCTACTGGGGACGTGCCCGAAACCCAGGTACATGCCCTTGACTGGAATCGAACCCGGGACCCTTCAGTCCACAGGCCGACGCTCTACCCACTGAGCCGAACCAGTTAGGGCGTGAATTACACATTCTTTAAGAGAGCGTAGCTCTTCAAACACATCTCTATTACAGCCACACGCCCCGTCTCTGCCCAGCATTTGTAATTCTTCTCCGAATTTTGTCTGAGCAATTTATCACCTTCTAAAACACCATGTTATCTTGTTATCTAGTTATTGTGTTTCATTTTTTTAAAGTATATTTTTATTGATTTTTAGAGAGGGCGAGCGAGAATCGTCGATGGGCTGCCTCCTGCACGCCCCCTCCTGGGGATCGAGCCCACAACCCGGGCATGCGCCCTGGACCAGGCTCGAACCCCGGACCCTTCAGTCCACAGGCCCACGCTCTACCCACTGAGCCAAACCAGCTCCGGCAGAACATCCTTTTCGCGGTTTCTCTCTCACCCCCTCTGCCCGCCTGAAGAAGTGATACTTTCTACCGACTTCTTTAATCAGAAACGCAAGCCTCATGAAACTTGGGGAACTGTTAAAAAAAATGCTTTGCTTTCCTGAAAAATGAAAATAGCCGAGGGCGAAGCGGGAATCTCTGTCCACAGTCCATCGTGCAAAAACCTCGGCTGTTCCGCCGGCTCAATCCGGGCACCTCGGCCCGGCCCAGGACTGAAGGGGAAAAGGGGCGGGGACTATGTTGCGTCATAAGCTGGCGCCGGAAGTGGGGTGCGCACGCCGAGGTGCGGCGCTGTCGGTTTGGAATCGCAGCGGGAGGAGGTTGCCGGTGCTGAGTGAGTAGGGGGCTCGCCTGGTTGGGATTTGGGGTGTATCTGGGCCCAAACCCGAAAGGCGCCCGAGGTTTAAAGGCCGGGTGTGGGGTTGGGGTTGGGCGAGGCTGGGGACAGAGCCGATGCTGTTAGCCCTTTGCCTGGTTTCTTTAGTTTAGCGGCGTAGCCATTGGGGGTTGTTTTATTCGCCTTGTCTCTGGGGCGCACGATCTCCCGTGGAGAGAGGTCAGTTTTTGGCTGTCCTTTGCGAAAGTTTGGAGAAATGGGACTTTTCCTTGTGCTGAGTGAGAATGCGAGCTTTGCAGTCAGTCCTGAACTCGTCTGCCTCCTCCTGATCCTGCGTTATTAGCTTCTCTAAGCCCGGGTTTCTTCAGCTTAGGAATAAGCGTAATGCCTGGCGGGACTGTTGTAAAGATGATCGTAAAGTAACAGGTGTAAGTGAGATCGCATATGCGAAGCGTTTATTACTGTGTCCGGTTTGTGGATAAGTGCACAATACGTTGCGGGGTGTTGTTTTGTTGTTGTTTTATTTCGCCCTTTAGACCTATGCATGGTATTTGGAAAAGCACAGATTAGGAATGGGGACCTTTTCAGCCTTCTCTGGGAAGAACGAGGGCTGGTTGGGTGTGTGATGCTCCGTATTGAATCTGATTTCAGGGGTTAACAATGGACACCCAGAAGGACGTCCAACCCCCCAAGCAGCAGCCAATGATATATATCTGTGGAGGTAAGAGTAGCACTTACATGAAGTAAGACGATTTTGCTTCGCTTTTTAAAAATTACTATTTTCTCTTTGGCTTAAATGAGTCGCTCGCCTTTAAAATTATGAAGCAGAAACTTTAGCCACCATGAAGATCCTCTCAAGATTTTATTGTCCCTCCTAGAAAAAGTGCTTGCCCAGACTCTTCTTCCCCCCTTAATATATTGGTAATAAGCCTTGGCTGGTGGCCAATGGTTAGAGCGTCGGCCTGGGCATCAAAGGGTCTTGGGTTGGATTCCCGGGGCATCCGTGTCTGTCTCTCTGTCTCTCTCTCTCTCTCCCTCTGTCTCTATCTCTCACCCCCCCCTTCTCCCTCCCTTCCAGTCTCTCTAAAAATCAGTGGAAAAATATCCTCAGGTGTGAATTAAAGAAAAAGTGATTTGAGTGAAAAATATTGTTAAGATTTGCTTGTCTGTAATGTTTTCCTTTTAGGTACTGAATTAATGTGTTTACTTTTCTAGAATGTCACGCAGAAAATGAAATAAAATCCAGGGATCCAATCAGATGCAGAGAATGTGGATACAGGATAATGTACAAGAAAAGGACTAAAAGATGTATCCTTTTAACTATGCTTTCTAAATAAGAGGTAGGAAGAAATTAAGAATAATGCTTGGGTTGATACTCAAAGACTAATTTCTGGTAAAAATGGTAATAACTTTTGGATTTCTTACCCCCAAAAAAGACAGCATTTTCATGGACCAGTATGTCAGTGTATAATCAGATACTATATAATCTTAATACTAGTTGATTTTGGTTCTCCTAAGTCTAATTTTCAGGGATTCTGTGTTTAACTAAATACTCATGTGAGCTTGAGTTTATGGATAAACTAAATTATAGGAGAAATACAAATATTATGTATGCTACCAAATGGAAAAAGTGAGCCTTTCAAATTAGTTGAAAGACTGAGAGGAAATTGTCGTGTAGTAAAAATATGTTTTTATTGATTTTAGAGAGGAAGGGAGAGGGATAGAGAGAAACATTGAAGAGAGAAAACATCGATTGGCTGCCTCGTGCATGACCCCCACTGGAGATCAAGCCCAAAACTGGGGTATGTGCCCTGACGGGGAATCGAACTGATGACCTCTTGGTTCATGGGTGGGTCAATGCTCAACCATGGAGTCACATGGGCTGGACTGCTTCATTGTTTTTTGGCACATTGGTCTTTTGTATCGTGGAAAGAGTGGAAAGACAGCTAATAAAAATAGTCATAATGATGAATTCTATACTTTTGGGCTTTTAAATTAAATTACAAACTAGCACATTGTAAAGAGAAAGTGACTTGGAAGTATTAAAGTCTTTTATATAACTTACTCTTTTTGTCCTTAACTCAGTTTTCTACAGTGGTGGTTTTTGACGCTCGATGAAATGGAATTCAGAAGAATATCTGTTTGCATTTGGATTTGCTGTTGTTGTATAGTTTTTGATGAGTATACTTATCTTTATGAATACAACTACTAGTATATACATGATTTCATTTTTAAAACCATATTGTATTTAGGTATCTATTATAAAGATTTTTTTTGTTCAGTTCCATGATTTGTAATTTAATTTTGTGTGTGTGTAATTTAATTTTGTTGTATATTTCACCTGACATGAAAAAGGTTAAAAGTGCTTCGCCAAACCACACTTTTAATCAAAACCGAGAGTCATTGGGGCCCTTGTTAAAAATAAAGTTTTCTAGGGCTCTCTAGGTGTGATTCAGTTCGTTCCTTGGAAACCACTGTTTTATATTATCAATTGTTAGTAAAATCTCCAGCATCGTTTTGTGTGGAGTATAACAGTACACTTACTCTCAGTGTGCATACATCATGCGGAGTTACATTTTTCATTTGTTACTTGAAGGAGGCCTTTCTGTATTTGTATGTAATGCTTGACTGGTTTTTAAATCTTGGACAAGGGAGAAGAAACCAATGGTTGCTTTCTATAAGGGAAAATCAACCCCACATACATACAGATGAAGACTATTAAGGCAGGTGCAGTTCCAGGTGTAATCATTCATTAAAGTAAAAAAATCTGCTTTCACGATATAAAAAAGTAGGGGTTGGTTTACACTGAATTACTAGATAAATGTTTAAAACTTTTGTCTTGATTTTAGGGATATCGATAGTTTGATACTCCATGTGTGTCCAATATTATCATCATTATGGATCATCACATTGGTTTCCCTAACATTCATTTGAAGGTCTGAAATATTCCAAGTTCTATAAAATTTATTATGTACTATACAAAGTACCACCATGCTCATATTTTTAAAGAGTTCTTCTTGATCTGGGTTTTCCTTTCGCCATGGCTTTCATAATTTGGTAATTGTGCTATATTCCTTCTTGACCTTGTCTTTTTTAGACAAGAGGGTTCCAACAAATAAGATATCTCTTTATGGAAAACCCCAACTCATTGGATAATGTTGCTCTTAACTGCGCTGATTCCATCATAGATCCCTTTCCTGTCAGTAATTTAATTGAATATTGTTATTTGGTTAACTAGACAGATGTTTAATGGAGAAAGTATTACCTCGGGAACTCACCATTTCAGTCAGTTACTTCCCTCTTTGTGTCTTCATCTATAAAATGGAAATGATTTTATCTCTTGCCTATCTGGACAGTTTTAAGAAAAAAAATGATACAATAAATATAAAATTGCTTTAAAAAATTCTTTTGAATAGTGCTCTGTGAATATAAAAATCTGGGCTTGAAGTTCACACATCACTTGTTCGCTACTAAGCTGCTTACTTAGACAAGCATGTCCATGAGAAAGGCATGGAAATTGGTTCACATCCAGTCCTGCTACTCAGTGACTGGCCAGTTAATTTATTTCTTTTAACTTCAGCTTTATTGTCAAAGTGGAAGAGTTAATGATGGTCGTCAGTACAGTACTTGGAGACTCTGAAGCTATTTTCAGAGATTTAAGGTATGAAAAATTCAAAAATATGTGGAATCAGAAATGACCAGTCCTAAGGAATAATAAATATCCCTTGTCACTGGCAGTATGATCTTACCACGGTTCACTTTCCTTGTTTGTACCATAAGCACCTACCTCAAAGGTTTGTTGGAAGATAAAAGAATCCATAAAAACTCAGCCTAATAATAGCTCATGTTAATTATTATTACCATTACTGTAATATTAACGTTTTTCACACACGATTGTTATTGGCCTTAGGATGAGTCTCGCCCAGCTACTCGTTTTGCTGTCCTCCATGCTCTTCACATTGCTCCTTCAAGAATACAAATTTCATGATACCGTCCTGCTGAAAATCCTCAGTGGCTCCTCATTTTGCTAAAATAAAAAATGATTTGGAATACTGTGCTTAGTCCTTGATAATCTGACTCTTACCTCTGTCACCACTTCAGCGGGTGGGTCTAAGATGTTTGCAGTTCCTTAAGCAGGTAAGAGGCCTTTTTTCTTTCTTGCCTGTCCTTTTCCCCAGGCTTTTCTCAGCCTGAAATGAACTAACTTTTCTGGTGCTCTTTGCCAGCATCAGAATTCTGAAGGATTGTTTTGTTGTCTTCTAGCTTCCAGTATTGTTGAGAAGTCCCAAACCATGCTTGTTCTTAATCCTTTGTCTGTGACCCATTTTCTCTCTGTTAAGAATTTTTGCCAGTGCCCTGAAATTTTACGGTATGTGCATTTGTATGGTTTTTTTCCACTGTTTTGCTCACTTGCGTACTTTCAGTCTGGAAACCCAAGCTCTTCAATTTGGGGACATTATCTTGAATTATGTATCTCCTTGTTTCTTGAATGCAATGTCTTCTCTCAATGAAAACCATACCGGTAATTTTCATTGCCTCTATAGTCTTTTTCCTTCAGGTTGCTTTTTATCCTGCTTGTTCATTTAGTATAAATATATATGTACATAATTATAACCAGAAAAAAAATTATGAGTGAAAGAGCTGAAATTTTATAAAACAAAAAGAATTTCCCACAAATGAGCTTTACTGTTTTATTTATCTGAATTGTAGTATATCTTCTTCACTTTTGTATCTAGCGCCTAGTACAGTGTCTGACTCATAACCAGCACTCAGAAAATGTTAAATGCATGAAAAGAAAGAGGGAATCTTGTCTTCATTTACTCTTCTGTATAAAGGGGAGGAAGGAAATCTAGGTTGCAGTGTAGACATCCTGAACGTTTAATTATGTTTCTGTAATTTAGGAGTAGATACCAATTTACCTTGCAGGTAGCACAACAATCCAAAGGAGCAGTATTTTAACTCGATCCGAAAAGAATTGAAAAGGAGAGGAAAGGGAACTCACACTCCCAATGGTCCTCTTTCCTGGTGAAGCTGGCTTCCGTAGCGCCAATCAGCGGGATGGGGTCGGGGACTAGCCAATCACCCGGCAGAGGGCTAGTCCCCGCCCCTGGCGATCAGCCCGTTGCACTTGCTGCTCAGGCGTTGCGACACGCCCCTCCCTGCCACCGCAGCGCAGCGGGTCAGATTTGCTGGGCGCGGGGTTCAGAACCAGGTGAGTACCTGCCCTCCAGGAGTAAATTTCGTGTCCCCGTCGCAGTCCTTCCTCTGCGCCGGGTCGAAAGGCGGACGCGGAGGAGCAAATGCACTGTGGGCTGGAGGGTGAGGGGCGCGTTGTGGCTTGAACAGCCTTCCTAGTCGGATGTTGGGGCGGGGTCGCAGCACGGGGGTTCCTGGTGACCAAAGCCTGGGAGTGGGGAACACATTCATAGGGTCCTAAAGTGCCCCCTGACCGTTGCCAGTTGGCGGTAAGAGCTCGCGGATCGCGGCCAGTCCCTCCGCCCTCTCGAGCTGCGTTGTACATAGAAACCGTTGCTATGGCTGGAGGTTGTCATTTCCTTTCGGCCTCAGGCAGCAGAGGGCGCTCGGCCCCGTGGATCTCGAAAGGATGCTTAAGGGGGAAGAAAACAGGTTTTCGTGTTACTAGTTCATCACAGTTTCCACTGGAGGTATTACGATAAGCTGAGTAGGAAATATGTACAGGAAGTGGATGTGGATCAGGATGATGGAGAAAAAATTAAGGTTTTCCTAATCTGCAACAAAAATTCAAACAGGCGTGGAAGAGTTTTAGAGAGCAAATAAGCCCGGCGGTGTGGCTCAGTGGCTCAGCGCAGACCTATGAACCAGGAGGTCAGGGCACATGCCCAGGTTTCGGGCTCGGCCCCCAGTAGGGGGCGTGCAGGAGCCAGCCGAACATCATTGAGGTTTCTATCACTCCCTCTCCCTTCTCTGAAATAAGTATTAAAAAAAAAAATTTTTTTTAAAGAGAGCAAATAAAGTCTTGTACAAGTTGTATTTTAGAACTTGCGAATATTTTGTAATCTTAAGAATGTGTATCCTACCAACAGTGGTAGTTTTCAAAAAGAATTCTCAGAAATGTTAAAACTGTTCAGAATGAAATTTATTTGATTAGGTAAGAGAAGTCTTATCATTTCAGATGTTTCTCACTATATTTTATTCAAATAATAAAATCTCAGGGGTTGCAAGATACCTTCCATTTAAGGTAATTTATTTTAATCCTATTAGATGTTTAAACCTCTCCTATCAAAGATCCTCCAGCTCTTTGGTAAATTATCCTAAGACAAACGATTGTATTCTGGGCAACATCAATAATTTAAAAATTCTTTATGTTGCTTTCCTGTAACTTCCACCCTTAAAGTTATGTTGTGATGGGAGCCATTCATCATACTAGACCCTTCCGGTATGGTGCAAAAGCCATAATCTCATTTCTCAGCCATATCTCATCCAAATGCTGACAAACTGTTATCTATATTCTATACCTAAGTTAAAGCCAGCAGGAAGATGGAGGTGAAGCTGACAGAGCATCCTCTTCTTCTGCAGAGGTCCGATATATGACTAGACTCATAGAGGGCAGGCATGCTGAAGGAAATACTTCAAGTGAATTAGGCCCATTGCTGCTGCTTATTTTTAAATTTATCACCCAATATACTTTAGGGCAATGATTTTAAAAAAGTATTGCTTTTAGAGATGAAGGGAGAGGGATAGAGAGAAACATCAATGATGAAAAGATTAATTAATCGGCTGCCTCCTGCACACCCCCCATTGGGGATCGAGCTTGCAACCTGGGCATGAGCCCCGACTAGAAATCGAACCCTGACCTCCTGGTTCCAGTGGGTGGGAGTGGGGGCCCAGGTGCGTGGGGCCCAGAGGGCCTCTGGGTGTCTCTCAGCCCCGCGCCCCACTTTGTTTTCCAGGTGCTGGGAGTAGAGAGCGCCTTGAAAGGTCACCCTTTCATTAGTTTCTCCCATATATATACTTTCTCCTGGAAGCTAAAACCCCTTCTCCTTTGTTTAATTACTTCTCCACAATTTATCACCCTTTATAAAAATGGTATATAGGCTCCCACGCTAAACAGATTCTTTGGGTTTTCACTTTTTTGTGAAGCCCCCATGTGCATATAAAATAAATGTTTCCTTCTGTTAATGTGTGTTCTATCAATTTAATTCACAGGGCCTCAGTTACTGAACTTAACTGGATAGAGGAAAGTATTTTTTTACCTTTTTTATAGCACCAAAACCTGCTTAGTCATTGAATTTCAGCATTACGTAAGTGGAGATAATCCATATATGGTACATAGTAATTTAGCTCCATGAATGTTAGCTGTCATTATCAGGGAGAGAGAGTTTAAAATCAGTAGCCTTCCTCCTTTTCTCTAGAAATAAAACATAATTATTTTTTTAAAATATATTTTATTGATATATTTTTTTTTTACAGGGAGGAAGGGAGAGAGATAGTCAGAAACATCAATGAGAGAGAAACATTGATCAGCTGTCTCCTGCACATCCCCCACTGGGGATGTGCCTGCAACCAAGGTACATGCCCTTGACCAGAATCGAACCTGGGACCTTTCAGTCCGCAGGCCGACGCTCTATCCACTGAGCCAAACTGGTTAGAGCTAAAACATAATTATTAAAGAAGTACCTAGCTGGTTACTGCTATCCAAATTGAATATATATATATATATATATATATATATATATATACACACACACACACTAGATTCATAACTTTTCCTGTACTATATTTCAGCCATGACTGCCAAAGATTGCCCATCATTGTTGGGCTTTGGAACCACAAAAACATTCAAAATTCCCGTTGAACATTTGGATTTCAAGTACATTGAAAAATGTTCAGACGTTAAACATTTGGAAAAAATTCTTTGTGTGCTTAGGTAAGCATTTAAAAATCATTTCTAGTTTCAATTTGTCAGTTTTAATTATATTGTTCTTGCCTTCTAAAAGCTGAGGCTGCATTAGGAACGTTGGAAGACATTTTCAAGTATCGCTATTGTTCGTTGTATTTGCCCATATTAGGTTCCACAATAGTGGTTTTGATCCTGTGGTTAGTTTGCAGTGGTCTGGCTGGGTGTACTTCCTCCGTGCACCGTAGGCTAATTTGAGGAGGGCCTTTTTCTTGCTTCCTTCGCATTGTCTAGGAAAAGGTCACTGTGAGAGTCGCCAGGAGGATGTAGGGTAGCTCACCAGCCTATGCTGATAAGGTTATTTGGCCTCTCCCACTTCGTGCCATCTGGTGACTCTGTGAGCTGGTCACTTGGAGGATGGCGGGGAAGCCAGCCCGGAGGCCAGAACAGGAAGCAGGGAACCCGGCCTTCTCTGGTTAAGAACCCCATGGTGGTGATTCTTAAACTTCCATATACATGTGGTTGTTAAAAATGCAAATTTGAGGGTCCCATTCCCAGAAATTCTACTTTGGGAAATCTGGGGTGGGGCCTAGGAATCTGTATTTTTTATTTGTTTGTTTTGTTTGGAATCTGTGTTTTTAACAAGTGCCTGGCTGATTGACATGCAGGTGGTCAAGGGAACCCACTTCGAGAAACACTGTCCCGTGCCACGTATTTCAGGTTTCTTGGGGGGTTTTCCGCTGGGGAGTAGCCTGATGTTGCAGAAGCACGTGTGGAACGTGGCATCCCTACCGTGGCATCTCTGCGGTGGCTCTTTTCTCCCCCGGACCCTTCATCTTACCACCGTGTCCTTTGCTTTTTCTCTCTCATTGCCTTTGGTGTCATGTCCTCCCTAGGCAGCCCTGCTTGTCCCCAGCCAGAGTTGATGTAACAACCTCATCAGTTCTGAAATGGAAATAGGAATCATGTCATTGCTTTCCCTTTTGTTTTCCTCAGCAGTATAAGAACATATTCATGAATATTTGACCAAGGACTGATCAACAAAATGAGAAGTTTACGGGATGAAAGTGTTTGAAAGCCATAGTAATAATGTTGGTTCTAAGAAATTCTATGAATAGCTTCATGAAATTATATTGCATTGACTTGGAATGATGGTTTTTTAATTTTACTTGAAAATGGGATATATTTCTATTTTTCTAAAAATTTAAAAGTGAACAGACTTACAGGAGAAGGGCAAAAATTGATTTTCTTTTCTTTTTTTTTAAATATATTTTATTGATTTTTCACAGAGAAGAAGGGAGAGGTTTAGAGAGTTAGAAACATCGATGAGAGATAAACATCGATTAGCTGCCTCCTGCACACCCCCCACTGGGGATGTGCCCGCAACCAAGGTACATGCCCTTGACCGGAATCGAACCTGGGACCCTTGAGTCCGCAGGCCGACGCTCTATCCACTGAGCCAAACCGGTTCGGCTTGATTTTCTTTTTAATAATAATTAAAAAAAGACAAACTAGAACAGATGTCTCCATTTAACCCTCTAAGAGAGGAATTCTGTTTCCTGGTTGTATTTAGAGTCCTGTTCTAAACTGTTCCTCTGCCATTTTCTTCCCATCCCTTTGGGGGAAGGGACGGAGATAAGCTAGGAGCTCCTCCTTGGAAAGGAAGTCCAGAGTCTCACTTTCTGCCTGCCTCTAATATTTAATCTCCATTTTTAAGTTTAAAATTACCTTATGTACAAAAGGAACATATGTGTGTTAAAGAGGAGAGGAAATGTTATTCATTCACCTTGTAAAGTGTGTGATGGAAATGTGTGTCTTTGGAGCGCCTTCTCTTCCGTTGCATCCCTGCACGGATGAACAGATGATAACGGAGGTTGCACTGGTTGAGGAAGGTGCGTGGGAGCAGCAGCCCCACATGCCACTGTCTGCGGGGCAGTCCTGAGGTCTCCGCAGAGCTCCTGGGCTCCGTGGAACCCAGCCTGCAAACCGCTGGTCTAGCTGATCTCTGAACAAAGCGGCACCTCTAAAATTCTGTACTATTTTTTAAGGTCTGGAGAGGAAGGATATTATCCTGAACTTATAGAGTTTTGTGAAAAGCGCCTTCAAGGATTGGCTCCTCAAAGTAGAGCTTTGAGGAAAGACAAACCTGCAGCGACAGAATCCAGTTTCACAGCGAGAGAATGGGAAAAAATTGATGGCGATATAAAGGTATAGATCAACACCGATTTTTGTGACATTGTCATGTTGTATATATGTCTACCTCACTTATCCAAAATTCTAGGTTTCTTTTTTGTCAGCCAAAGGCTTTTTTAAAAAAAATATTTTTATTGATTTCGTAGAAGAAGGGAGGAGGGGGAGAGAGAGAGAGAAATAGAAACATTGATGATGAGAGATAATCATTGCCCAGTTGACTCCTGCATGCCCCTTACTGGGAATCAAGCCCCCCAACCTGGGCATGTGCCTTGACTGGGAATCGAACCCTGACCTCCTGGTCCATAGGTCAACCCTCAACCACTGAGCCAGGCTGCCTGGGTTCAGAATGCTATGTTTTTACAAACTTTCATCAGCTTTCTCACTTTACCATTTTATTGACTTGAATTTGAAAATCTGGTTATTAATATAGCTACAATAGTGGTTTATGTTTAGAGTTCTTTGACTTTATTTTGGGGGGATAAAACCTCGTTTTTTAAAAATAGTTCATTGATTTTTAGAGAAAGAGGAAGGCATAGGGAGAGAGAGAGAGAGGGAGAAACATTGATATGAGAACATAACATTGATCGGCTGCCTCTTGCATGCCTCAAACCCGCAACCTTTCTGTGCATAGGGTGACACCCAACCAACGGAGCCACATCGCCAGGGCAAAACCTTTTGGTTTTCGTTGCAGAGCCTGCTTTTACCCCAACTGTGTATTCTTTCAGGTCACTTTTTTAGTCAGTCTCCTTCTCATCCCCCTTTCTTTCATGTCTGCCTTGCCACTTCTCCTGCATTTCCCATTCTCTCTCACTCCTTCCTCTCTTCTGCAATTCCTCCTCTCCCTTTCTTCCCTTACTGTGTTTTTATTCTCCTGCTTCTCCTGTTTGCCCCCTCCATCCTCCTTGCCTTCTATACAAATAGGACAGGTAACAGAGTTTATTTCTATATCCCAGAGCCTATTTTAAGAATGTCTAGCAAATATTACACCCTCACTATATATTTGATGAAAAATAAATAATAGAATTTCACAGATAATAAAGAAATACCCTACTCAGTATTTTCCTGGCACCAGTGACAATTTATTTTATTTATTTATTTTTCTTTTAATATATTTTATTGATTTCAGAGAGGAAGGAGAAGAGAGATAGAAACATCAATGATAAGAGAGAATCACTGATTGGCTGCCTCCTGCATGCCCCACTGGGGTTCAAGCCTGCAACCTGGGCTTGTGCCCTGACCGGAATCAATCCGTGACCTCCAGGTTTCTGGGTCAATGCTCGACCAGTGAGCCATGCCAGCCAGGCGACAATTCAGTTTAATGAACATTATTGTGAACCTGTTATATGCCAGACACTGTGCTATGTTCTGGAATCACAAAATGAGATTAAGACATAGGCTCTGCCCTCAAGGAATTTACAGTGTGGTGAAAGGGATGAACACTAAATAGATTATTTTAAACCATTATGCTAATACATGGAGGGGGAACATTTTATCTTTTTTTTTTTATTGTTTTATTGCTTAAGAGGGGGAATATTTTTAAACCAAACCGGAAGCTCAGAGAAAGCTTACTGGGAGAGATGGTCAATAAGATCTTGCAAGATAGTGAGAAGTAGGAAGGCCAACAACAATATGAATTTCCTTAATAATACTGAGCTGTACACTTAAAAATGATTAATAGGGTAAATTTTATGATATGTGTATTTTCCCCAAATAAAAGAAGAGTAGGAAGGGCATTCCAGGTAGAGAAAATGGCACGAGCAAACTGTCACCTAAAAAACTGACGGATCCATGGGGAATTTTGATGACATATAGTCTTTTCTAATGCTTGGTTAATTACTTAAAATTGTATATTTGCCTTCATTTTCCTCCTTTTTCCCCCTCAGAATTGGGTAACAGAAATTAAAAAAGAAGAAAGTAAAATATATTTTCATGAAACTGAAACATTTCCAGCAAAGGAAGAAAATTTGCCTCCAGTTCGTGGTTCAAACAGCCATCTTCATGTTGCCAAAGTAGGCCTTTTGGTGCGGGATGTGGTGGATAGGGGAAGAAGGTTGTGCATGAGGAGAGCTATCTCAGTTTTGTCAGTGCAGCCAAACGGTGATGTGTTCTAGGAGAGCAGGGATTTCTTTCAGCTGGTCATGTGCTATTACCTTCATGAGTAGACCATTGTTCATTAATTGATGAATCAAAATAAAACTGCCTTTTCTTTTGAAGACTTGCATCTTAGATTAATTGCCTTTCTTCATTTTTCTTTTGCTGTTCAGTCTCTTCTACTCTGACCAGTTTTTTGTGTTGTTGTTTGTTTTTTTTTTAACTTTATTTCAGGAGGAAGGTAGAGGGAGAGAGAGATAGAAACATCAGTGACGGGAGAGGATCATTGATTGGCTGCCTCCCGCATACCCCACACTGGGGATCGAGCCCACAACTGGGCAAGTGCCCTGACCAGAAATTGAACTGTGACCTTCTGGTTCATAGTCGACGCTCAACCACTGAGCTACTCCACCTGGGCAAGGGCATATTTATTTATTTATTTATTTATTTATTTATTTATTTATTATTTTTTGTTAATCCTCACCCAACGATATTTTTCCATTGATTTTTAGAGAGTGGAAGGAAGGGAGAGAGAAACGACACATGTTTTTAATATTCTTTGTGATAAAATGGGAAGTATGCAGAAAGCATTTCACTGTGACGTGAAAGATGATTGTTATCTCAAGAGAAGCACTTGTGTGATTGAGTTGGCAGCTTCAGTCGCCACTTTTTTCTGGAATAAATTTTTCTCCAAAAATTTATGATTATTCAGACTTGGTTTTTTGGCAGACATTGCATTGAGAATGAACAAAGTGGGCCTGTCACTTTAACCGACAGTGCTTTTTGCCAGTGATAATACCTGAGCTTTCAAGTACAATCTAGAAGAGTATTTCATATTCTTACGTGGCTCTTGAATACCTGCTTGTGACAAAACAATTTCCCGTACTCAGACTTTTCTGAGGAGCTCCGTGAAGATATTAGCAGATACGGTTTTTTATTGTATGACGAAATGTATGAATATTTGGAAGATCTGCTTAACTCCACGTGACCAATGCACCACGTTACAAAACCGCTCAAAATGGTTTCAGATTATGGCTAACTTCTAAGAAATAATTTAAGAAACTATTTGTGAGCATAATGGCTATTGTTTGCTTCTCTCCCACTGCCTCTGGTGCTTCCATTGGGCATGTGACCCAGGTTGGGCCACTCGCTAGCACCAAGCTAGTGCTTGGTCAGGGATGGGCGCATGGCCCACGCTAGGCAATCAGAACCCTTCCCTGGGATTTCTCTAAAGATGGAGAGCAGAGTCCTTTTCCTTTCTGATTCGGAGGCCTGTGAGGTTATAACTCTAGGCTGCTTGTGGCCATGTTTTCTACTACATGGAGAAAGCAAGTAGCCAGCAGGGAAAACAAAATCAGTAGGCAGAGAGAAGCAGGGATGAGGAAGGGGTGGGGAGAGGAATTGGAGAGAGACCATATGACTCTCTCATCCAGCAGTATCCCTGTCCTGCCTTTCATCAGTTTGGTTACATAAGCCAATAATGTGTTCTTTTTAAATACAATTAGTCCAAGTTGGGTGTCTGTTATTACAAACAAACCAGCTTTGAGTAATACAGCAAAATATTCTCCAATGCCTAGGTTTTAAAAGAATGAGTGATAGTTTATTACTTTTTTATTATCAGAAAATCACTAATAATCATTTCACATGTGATTTTTTAAAAATTTTATGTATGTGCTTAAAGTCCTATAGAGTGCTCTGAGATTAACTACAATTTTTTTAAAATATTTTTTTATTGATTTCAGAGAGGAATGGAGAGGGAGAGAGAGATAGAAGCATCAATGATTAGAGAGAATCATTGATCGGCTGCTTCCTGCACACCCCTTACTGGGGATGAAGCCTGCACCCAGGCATGTGTCCTAACCTGGAATCCAACACTGACCTCCTGTCCATAGGTTGACGCTCAGCCACTGAGCCATACCTGCTGGGCGAATTAGCTACAAATTTAAAATCCTTTGAAGCTTGATATATATTCTTTTCTTAATAATTTTAATACTGGATTTGTTATAGCTTAAAGGGTATGTCTTTTTCTTATTCATTCAGTTTTCTTATTAATCCAATTCTTCACATTGCATTTATAATAAAACCTGCTAATCTTATATTAAGTATGTCTCATAACGTGTGTTTTTATTCTTTTAGGGAAAATGTTCTAAAAGTAGATCGGCTAAAAAGAATATTCCAAGGGATTATGCAGAGTGGGATAAGTATGTTTTACATTTTTTATGTAAAATTTGTCACTGAAAACTTCTCTACCACAAAATACTGTAATAAGTTCTTAATTATTACAAACCTGAACATTAAGAATAGCAAGGTACTTCAGTAGAGTACTCAGAGTATATAGTCTAAGCACTCTTGATCTTGTTTTTCATTAAATAAAAATCTCCTGCATCCTTTTGTTTATGAGAGCAACCACAAATAAATAATATAATCCTTATACCTATCCAAAATAAAAAAGAACAAAAATTTTAAATTGAGAGATTAAAAATGGCGGCAGAGTAAGTGGATGCTGCGGGCACATGCTCCCAGGAACAAACTGGAATTACAACTAAAATACAGAAAAACTTACTGAATAATCAATGGAAAACTCGCAGGCGAGAATTCTGATATCTGAGGAACGAAAGTGGAGACCGCATAGAGACTGATTTATTTTGTATATTGTAAAAAAATAAAATAGTTAAAAAAAATTTAAATTGAGAGAAATGTGTTACAATTTTAATTACAAAAATCTAAATAGTTTAGATCTGATTAATGTTTAAGTTTTCACTAAATTACATGGTTAATAAGAAAGAATACAGAAAACTTGTAATATAAGCTATTATGCATTTTTGGAATGTGTGTTTAAAGGCATGGTGATACAAATACAAGAATATCATTAGTATTTTTTAATGTATTGTATTGTACTTTTTTGTTTTTATTCTTTCTTTTAAGATTTGATGTGGAAAAGGAATGTTCAAAAATTGATGAAGATAGCAAAGAAAAAACTCTAATAAACAACAAGTCACATTTGTCTAAAATTGAGACAAGACTAGACACAGCAGGTAATTGGGGAAATATAAGAACAATTTAGTAGTCTTTAAGTTTTTAAAGTTATAATAAAAACTGTCAAACTAGAGGACATTCTTTCTTTTTTTTAAGTGGTTGCCTCCCACACTGGGATCAAGCTTGCAGCCGAAGTACATGCCCTTGACTGGAATCGAACCTGTGACCCTTTAGTCCATGGGCCAATGCTTTATTCACTGAGCCAAACCAGTTGGGCAAAGGCTTTCTCTTTAAATGCTACAGATTTTCATGACAAGTTTATGCATTTTCTCCTAAAGTTGACCACTTCTTTTTTTTTTTTTTTTTTAATATATTTTATTGATTTTTTACAGAGAGGAAGGGAGAGAGATAGAGAGTCAGAAACATCGATGAGAGAGAAACATCGATCAGTCGCCTCCTGCACATCCCCCACAGGGGATGTGCCCGCAACCCAGGTACATGCCCTTGACCGGAATCGAACCTGGGACCCTTCAGTCCGCAGGCCGACGCTCTATCCACTGAGCCAAACCGGTTTTGGCAAGTTGACCACTTCTAACAAATTCAGATCTATCCTTTATTTAATTTTATATGATTAACAGTTATACTTCTTAAATTTTAGTAAGACTTAAAAATACAAACCATTTTTTACTGTAATTAATTTGTTTTTCATTTCTTTTTTTTAATCCTCTTTTTCCTTCAAATCCCTCAAATTTATTTTCTTTTTGCTTCAAAACAAAATGATGGAACAGTTTGTTTTCATTTGAAGTCCATAGGCGTATAGTACCTTTAAAGAGAAACAAAATCAGTCATAAAATATGGAAACCCTCAAAAATTGTGAATGATTAGAAAAAAGAAAAGAAACTTTACTAAATTTAGGAAATCATTTTTTTTCTTTTAATTATTTACAATTTTCAGCTTCTCTTAAAATAAGCATTCTTGGATTTAACATTTTGTAAATATTCTATTAAATTATACGTTTACTTAAAGCAGGTACCATTTGTTTCTAGGTCTGACTGAGAAGGGAAAGGATTTTCTTGCTACTCGTGAAAAGGAAAAAGGAAATGAAGCTTTCAAGTCAGGAGATTATGAAGAGGCTGTGAAATACTATACAAGGTGAGCAGATTTTTGTGTGGTTTAAACTTGCTATTTTAAAAGAAATGGTAGCATTTAAATTTAATTATTGAAAGGATATAAATAAGCTAAATGGCCTATGTCAGACTCACTCAAGATATTGTATTTATCATAAATTCACTTCTGTTTCAGCATTATTTTGTATTGGTTTCAGGTATAAAGCATAGTGGTTAGACCAGGGGTGGGCAAACTTTTTGACTCGAGGGCCACAGTGGGTTCTTAAACTGGACCGGAGGGCCGGAACAAAAGCATGGATGGAGTGTTTGTGTGAACTAATATAAATTCAAAGTAAACATCATTACATAAAAGGGTACGGTCTTTTGTTTCAATAGTTTTATTCATTTCAAACGGGCCAGATCCGGCCCGCGGGCCGTAGTTTGCCCACGGCTGGGTTAGCCAATCATATACATTACAAAGCATTCCCCCAATATTTCCAGTGCCCACCTGACACCCTCCATAGTTATTGCAATGGCATTGCCTATATTCCCTGTGCTGTGCTTTATGTCCCCATGACTTTTATAACAGCCCTAACCTTTTCCCCCTGCCCCCCAACACCCTCCTCTCTGGCAACCACCAGTCCCTTCTCTGTGTCTACCACTCTGCTTTAACTTAAGCTGCGTTTCTCTGCCTTCTTGGATTTACCACTGGCCTGCTTGTTGCCAATGAGCGTTTGTTTTATAGGAGCATATCCGTGCTTCCCACCGTAGCAGCGTATAATAATCGAGCTCAAGCAGAACTCAAACTACAGAACTGGAACAGTGCTTTTCAGGATTGTGAAAAGGTCTTGGAGTTAGAGCCTGGAAACGTAAAAGGTAAAACATATGCAAAGGACGCTTTTAAATTTACAGCAGGATCCTTAAAGACTCTTTGTAGACACTCATTATGTTCACACTAAGCATATGTCAAATAAACTCAAGTTTCTATATGGAATCATTACCTTCATAAAGTTACTTTTAATGTCAAGTTTAACTTGGAATTTAAGTCCCTGGTTTTGCATTGAAGTAGCTGATAATTTCAGAAGATTCAATAAAATATATGTGTTTTTTAAAGAACTATCTCAAGCTTGCATTTAACTATGGGGTTTTTTCTTTCCATTTTTTTTTTATTTTGTAAAATACATATAAATTGACCATTTTAATCATTTTTTAAGTATACAGTTCAATGGTATTGTTGTGCAGTCATCATTACCATCTCTCTCTCTTTCTCTCTCTCTCTCTCTCTCTCTCTCTCTCTCTCTCTTTTAATTTTTATTTATTTCAGAGAGAAAGGGAAAGGGAGAGAGAGGTAGAAACATCAATAATGAGAGAGAATCTTTGATTGGCTGCCTCCTGCACACCCCCTACTGGGGATTCAGCCCGCAAACCCGGGATGTGCCCTGACTGGGATTCAAACCAGCAACCTCTTGGTGCATGGGACAATGCTCAATCCACTGAGCCACACCAGCCAGGGCAAAATGATTTATCTTTATATTTCCATAGTTTGTTCTCCCTCCCTTCCTCCCTCCTTCCCTCCCTCCCTTCCTTCCTTCCTTCCTTCCTTCCTTCCTTCCTTCCTTCCTTCCTTCCTTCCTTCCATTTATTTCTTTCTTTCTTTATTAGAGGCCGGGTGCACGAGATTCGTGCACTGGGGTGGGGTTGGGGAGGGGGTGGTCCCTCAGCCCTGCCTGCGCCCTCTCGCAGTCTGGGAGCCCTCAGAGGATGTCCGACTGCCACAGAGGCAGGAGAGGCTCCCACAACCACCGCCGCTGTGCTTACTGGCAGTGAGCCCTGTGAGAGTGTACTGACCACCAGGGGGCAGCTCCTGCATCGAGCGTCTGTCCCTGGGTGGTCAGTGCACGTCATAGCAACCGGTTGTTCTGCCATTCGGTTGATTTGCATATTACCCTTTTATTATATAGGATTTTTAGAGAGAAATAGGGTAAGAGAGAGAAAGACAATCGGTTTTGTTGTCCCACTTATTTATGCATTCACTGGTTGTTTCTTGTATGTGCCCTGACCGGGAATCGAACTGACAACCTTTCAGTGCACAGGACAGTGCTCAACTAACTGAGCCACTCCAGCCAGGCTCCATTGTTTATTTTAAAACTAACATCAAATTGGTCAAAATTATGCTTTAAAATAGCACATTAAAATATATCAGATATAAATTTCTCACTTTTCAGAATTACTAAGCCTGATTCTTTTCAAAATAATGACTTATTACACAAATTCTCTCAGTATATAATGGGTAATGATGGGACTAAAAAGGCATTTATTTTCAGGATTTAATAATTATTATACATTCAAACATATTTAAAAAGCGGATGCAAATTACCAAAGTACTTGATTTCTGAACCTAGCTGACTTAATCATCAGGATTCTCTGTTATCCATGTGAAATACCTCCTTCTGGTTATTTTAGAACTTGCTATAAAGACTCCACTAATGACCCCATATTCTGAGTCAGATGCTGGTCAGTAATATCCTAAATTTGAATAAATGATTTTCAAAGTTTTCAGAAAGTGGTGAAATAATGCTAGTGGTGATTATAAGGAGGCAAACATTGTTTAACGAGAAGCCTCCACTATGTCGCACAGCACAGAATCTCTCAGCCGCTGGAGGAGCTGGCAGGGCCTGGGGCTGCCAGAGGGCCAGGTGGTTGGAGGGGACAGGTGCCTGGTGCAGCCTCTTGTTTACCTCAGTACCATTTTCTGTATGTGCGACAACATGAGAATGGGTGTCGTTAAGCTTTGCACAGTGGCATCCTAAACCGTTCTGTGCTACTTGCGTTCTTCCACTCAAAAAATTGTTAACCATAGCGCCATATGTTAAAACAAGCAACTTATTTTAGTAAAATTTCAGCTCTTCTGCGCCGTGCCACTACATTTAAACATCAGAACAAGCTCCAGGACGCGATGGAGGATTTGCGCCAAGTGCTGGATGCTGAACCTGATAACGAGTTGGCCAAAGTAAGTACAGAAAGTGATTCCTCACAGAATTCCGTAGTTTGCTGCTTCTGTGTTTATGTGACATCAATCTTGCTGGACACATGATGCTGAGGATTAGGTTACAGATTTAACAAGTAGGTACATCCCAGACACCCCTAAGAGGTTAACATCAATTTGAAGTGGAAGAAAGCAAGCTCTTAAATTGTTCAGAACTGTAAACCTACTTCTGAAGGACAAATACTCAATTTTTTTTCTTTCCTGCAATGCTGTAGGCAGTGGTTTTCTTTGAGCTAATTCCAATTTATTATGCAGAGCAGTGTACACGTTTCCTGGGCTTAGGCACGAGCTTGGTGGCCATAAAAGAGGGTTTCTCTCCGTAACGTGCATGCAAAGCATGCATCACTGATACAGACTGACTCAGATGTGCACTGGGCAGGTGTGTGTGTGTGTGTGTGGCGGGTGGGGGGGGGGTGGTCTGTGGTAAGGCCTTGAAGAGTAGAGTAAGTGTTGAGAACTGTGAAGGGTCTGAGATTTTACCCTACCTGCAAATTAACAAGGTGGCCGAGAGGAATATACAAGATTCCTGGGTTGGACACAAAGGACTTGGTTGCAGCATAGCAAGCTGATGAGCTTCAAGTCCATGTCAGTTCCCCTGGCTCCCAAGTCTCATGGGGGTAGCACAGAAACGCCCAGGTAGATGCTGCACACTCAGTGCATCCGTGTCCCAGCGGAGGCATCCCCAGGTTTCATGGAATATAAGCACATCTGCCCAACTAACGTGAGAGGGAGACATTATCTTCATTTTCCCAGAGAGCAAACCTGCTCTTTCCTCTGGAGGGAGATACTCTCTTTCCCAAGGCAGTTCACGGAGAGATACTCTATTTTCCAAGGCATACATCCTTAAAAAGATAGTCTGACGTCGTTTAGTTTCTCTGCTCACAATATATTCAGAAATGAGAATCTCGTGCAGCACTGTATTCCAACAAGCAGTTCCAGTTTTCCTCATACGCCTGCTGGGTATCTATCTCTGAATGGCAGCTAAAGTCCCTAGAGCATCAGCTGCATTTGTCAAGGCAGCATTTCAGTGAATTCATTGTAAGGCCCCATTTAGGAACACATCTTTTCCCCATAGTATTTCCTTTTTTTAACGGTATGTTTAATATATATGTACATGAACATATCTAGGAAGATGACCATCAGAATACCAAGTGTTACCTAAGTGGCAGATAATTTTTTCTGCCTTTTTTATACTTGTTAATGCTTTAGGTTTCTTACAGCAACCATGTATGTCTATAATCAGACAAAGCAACAAAGTTGTTTGAAAAAGAAAAACAACAGACCACCATGAAAAGCCTTACGTTAATGATCATTGTTCCCTTTTTAATAGCTTATATTCTTGCCTGAAAGAATAGTTTTATTTTTTATTAAAGGAAAACTTTTTTTTTCCTTAAATATGGTGATTATGTTGCAGAAAACCCTGTCAGAGGTTGAAAGAGAGCTGAAAAATTCTGCGCCCGCATCTAAGACTCACACCAAGGGGAAAAGGATGGTTATTCAGGAAGTAGAAAACTCAGAAGATGAAAATGGAAAAGAAAGCGAAAGAAAACATGAAGATGGCAGTAGAGATAAGAGTAAAACATTTTTTCTCTTTTGGTTATGTAGAATACTACTTTTTTATATGACGAGTTAGTCTATCAAACTTTTTGTAGCCTTAATCTTTTTCTTAATATAGCTCATTTTTCTTTTTCCTGTATTTATTTTTTTTATATATATTTTTAAAAAATTGATTTCAGAGAGGAACAGTGAGGGAGAGAGAGGTAGAAATAGCAATGATGAGAGAGAATCATTGATTAGCTGCCTTCTGCATGCCCCCTATTGGGGATTGAGCTTGCAACCCAGGCATGTGCCCTTGACCAGAATTGAGCCTGGGACACTTCAGTCCGCAGGCCAACGCTCACTGAGCCAAACTGACTAGGGCTCATCTTTTTCTTAATATAATCTCCCAAACTCATTTTTCTTCTTAACCTGACACTGTTTTCTAATGCTCAATTTAATTCCTGACTATCTTTTTTAAAAATTGATTTCAGAGAGGAAGGGAGAGGGAGAGAGAGATAGAAACATCAATGATGAGAAAGAATCATTGATTGGCTGCCCTCTTCTGGGGATCAAGCCTACAACCCAGCCATGTGCCCTGACTGGGAATTGAGCCGTGATCTCCTGGTTCGTAGGTCGATGTTCAACCACTGAGCCACACTGGCCAGGCTATCATCTTTTTAAAAATATATATTTTTTCATTAATTTGTAAAAGAGAGGGTAAGGAAGAGGGAGAGATAGAAACATCAATAATGAGAGAGAATCATCATTTGGCTGCCTCCTGCACGTCCCCTACTGGGGATCAAACCTGAAACCTGGGCATGTGCCCTGACCAGGAATCATTTCTGATTTTGTCATTCATGGCCCCAAATTATTTTGTAGATTATGGAATACATAAAAATATGTAAGATTCAGAAAACAAAAGTTTCTTGATAAGAAGAATATAAATTTTAAGACCAATTAGTTCCCTTTTACCAGGAAAGCAAATCAAGATTAAGTGGAATAGTCCTAGCCGGTTTGGCTCAGTGTCTAGACTGTCAGCCTGAAGGGTCCCCGGGTTGGATTCTGGACAGGGCATATGCCCAGGTTTTGGGCTCGATCTCCAGTAGGGGGCGTGCAGGAAGCAGCTGATTAATGACTCTCTCTCATTGATGTCTCTCTCCCCCTCCCTTCTTCTCTGAAATCAATAAAAGTATATTTTTAAAAAAAAGATTAGGTGGAATGAAAAGTTGGAAGCCATTTTAAAGTCATCCTTTTAAAACGAAATAAAATGAATAGAACTATTTTATGCTTACTTCTACCAACTTGTATTGTTAGATGGCTTGTAAAAAGAGATCTTGGCGCCTCGGACAAGACAGGAGAAATTCAAGTCACTATTAGGAAAATAATGTTAAAGTCCGGAGGAGATCATTGAGTTGGAATCTTTGCGGGTGGTTTCCCATTCCACCACATTCCAAGAAAGAATTGTTAGTCATTATGTGGCAGGCGGCGGGAACAGCAGCGCGTGTCTGACCAGGGGGGTCAGACCAACCTGAGTTCAGCAGCCTCGGTACTTGGGTTCTGGCTAGAAAAGAATTCAGAGCCAAGAGAACATTTGTTTGTTAAATCACAGAGGTAGAGAAAGTAATTCCTAGAAGAGATGGGCTTAGGAAGGCAAGTTATGGAGACAAAGGAAGGGCCCTTGGGGCCTGGGGCAGGGAGGAGGAAGGAAAAGGGAAGGCACCTGTATGCTCTCTGGAGGGAGAGCGCACCGGGTCCTCCATCCTAAGGGCGTTAGGGTGGAGACTTCAGGGCAGGTCCCAGGGGAAGGTTTGAATAGAATGGTCAGCAGCTTTCCAGGTGTGTCCTTCAGGGCTGTGGTCTCCACTGATTGATGGTGGCACCAGGGAAGGGGGTCTTTATTCAAAGCAGCTGGTTTTGTTGCTTCTCTGGGCCTGGAGCTGAAATACAACTGAGGCCTAGATGTTACCTCTAGCGGGGAAAGGTCAGGGGTTCCAAACCCAGTGACCACTGATACGCTTGGGGAGGAAAAGTCACCATGGAGGCAAGGTCCCACCCTACCATTGAGTGTCTGTTGCCAGGCACCTGGGGCTTTCCACTCTGGTGACCTTCTGACCTGGCCTATGGTCCTTGCCCTACTCATGTCCAACTGCCCACCATAGATAATACCACATTTTCTTTATCCATTCCTCAGGTGGCTGCTATGAATATTCAGGTTTATGTGTGTGGACATGTTTTTGATTTTCTTGAGTATAGGAGTGAAATGCGTGAGTTATATTGTAACTCTGTGTTTAACTTCTTGAGGAACTGCCAGACTGTTTTCAAAAGTGGCTATAGCATTTTATATTCCCAGTGGCCATGTCTGAGGATTCCAGTTTCTCTACATTCTTGCAAACACTTGCTATTGTGAAGTGGTAATTCCTCACGGTTTCAATTTGCATTTCTCTAATAACTTATTGTGTTAACCACTTTTTCATGTGTTCATAAGCCATTTGTATATCTTTTTGGATAAATGTTATTCAAGTCCTTTTGCCATTTTACAGTTAGATTACTTGCCTTTTTATTGATGCACTAGAGGCCCAGTGCACGAAATCTGCGCATGGGTGGGATCCCTAGGCCTGGCTAGCAATCAGGGCCTATTGGGGCCAAGCTGGCCAGGGCCTGCCAGCTGCTGGCCGGAGCCTAGGGACCTGCTGGCTGCCGGACGGGGCCAGAGGGATGGGGGAGGGACGGGGAGAGGTTGGCTGGCTGTGGGAGGTTGATTGTGGGAGCGCACTGACCACCAGGGGGCAGCTCCTGTGTTGAATGTCTGTCCCCTCATGGTCAGTGCTCATCATAGTGACTAGTGGACCCGTCGTTCTGATCATTCGATTGTAATGGTTGCTTAGGCTTGTATATATATAGATCATAAGTCTTTACATATTTAGATAGTAGATTCTTACAGATAATAATTTGCATATTATTTCTTCCATCCAGTGGGTGGTCTTTCTACTTTCTCGATTACATCTTTTGCTGCACAAAAGTTTTACATTTTGATGAAGTCCAATATATTTTTCTTTTGTGCTTGAGCCTTTCGTATCATATATAAAATCATTGTTAAATCCAAGGTCATGTAGATTTATCCCTATGTTTTTTTTCTAAGAGTTTTATGATTTAGCTCATATTTTGGACATTGATTTATTTTGATTAATTGTGGTAGGGAGGAGTCCAACTTAGCCTTTGCTTTTTTTTTTTAACATGTGGAAATTCACTTTTCCCAACATCACTTTTTAGAGACTATTCTTGACACTTTTGTCAAAAATAAATTGGCCATAGATGTATGGGCTTATTACTGGACCCTCAGTTCTATTCCATTGGTCTATCTGTCTGTCTTTATGCTAGTACCACTCTGGATTGTTTTTGTTGTTAATCCTCACCCAACGATATTTTTTTCCAGTGATTTTTTTTATAGAGAGTGGCAGGGAGGGATGGAGGGGGGAGGAGAGAGAGAAAAAAATAACACATCGCTGTGAAAGAGACCCATTGATTGCCTCCCTCACTCACCAGGGATGGAATCTGCAACCCTTCTGTGCCCAGACTGATGCTCTAACCACTGAGAAATACTGGCCAGGGCAGCACCAATGTTTTGATTACTATAGCTTTTAGTAAGTTTTGAAATCAGAAGTATGAGTCCTGCCTGGCTTGTGTGCCTCAGCGGTTGACCCAGGAACCAAGAGGTCACCGGTTCTATTCCTGGTCAGGGCACATGCCTGGGTTGCAGGCTTGATTCCCAGTAGGAGGCAGCCAATCGATGATGTTCCTCTCTCTCATCGATGTTTCTCTCTCTCTATCCCTCTCCCTTCCTCTCTCTAAAAATCAATAAAAACATATTTTTTAGACAAAGAAGTATGAGTCCTTTGATTTTGTTCTTTTTCAAGATTATTTTGGCTACTTTGGAATTCCATATTAAATTGAAGATCAGTTTTTCTATTTCTGCAAAAAAGTCTATGGAATTTGATAGGGATTATGTTGAATCTGTAGTTCACTTTGGCTAGTATTGATATCTTAACAACATGAAATCTCCCTATCTATGATCAAGAAATATCTTTCCAGCCCTAGCTGGTTTGGCTCAGTGGATAGAATGTCAGCCTGTGGACTAAAGGGTCTGGGTTTGATTCTGGTCAAGGGCACATGCCTGGGTTGCAAGCTCAATCCCCAGTAGGGGCGTGCAGGAGGCAGCCAATCAGTGATTCTCTCTCATCATTGGTGTTTTTATCTCTTTCTCCCTCTCCCTTCCTCTCTGAGTTCAATAAAAATATATTTTTAAAAAAAAGAAAATAAATATCTTTTCACCCTAGCCAGTTTGGCTCAATGAATTGAGCACTGGCCCGTGGATTGAAGGGTCTTGGGTTCAATTGTGGTTAAGGGCATGTACCTCGATTACAGGCTCAATCCCCCGGCCTGTTCCAATCGATGTGTCTCTCTTACATTGCTGTTTCTCTCTGTCTCTCCCCCTCCCTTTCACTCTCTCTAAAAAAAGTCAATGGAAAATATCCTTGAGTGAGGATTAAGAACAACAACAACAAAAGATGTTTTTTAAAAAAGAAATATCTTTCCACTTAATTAATTTCTACTGTTGAACTACTCTTCTATTCCTGAGATAAATCCCACTGATCGTGGCATATAATCCTTTTAATATGCTATTGGATTTGGTTTGCTTGGATTTTGTTGAGGATTTTTGCATCTACCAACTACCCGAACGACCCTCTAAGGCTACTGAAATCCTGGTGGTCTTTAGTTCTGTTGGTTCTCTTCAGTCCTTGTGCAAATGACACTGTTGGCCATTACTTCCTTGGATGTTTATTGCTGACTCCTTTCTCCCTGAAGTACTCATTCTTCTTGGTATGCCCTCCTGGCTTTTTTCCCCTCATTTTCAGGCACTCCTCCATCTCCATTGTAGATTTTTCCTGTGACCATCTTTTAAGACTTGATCTGAATGACTCAGTCCACATTCAAACTTCAGTGATTCTTTATGTGCCAGCAACTCCCAAGTCAATGTCTCTAGATAAGGCCACTCCTCTGGTCCACATTCGGAGTCACCTCCTGAGCAAGTCTTCTGGAATGTCCTACAGGTAGTGCAGCACCTAACAGGACTCACAGGACTTTCATGTTCTGGCCTCTGTTTACCTTTACAGAGGCTGGCCAGGTTGTTCAGGGACATTCCATCTTAAGGAAAGAGGTACGGCAGGGCATTCAGTTCAATTCATTTGAATCCCAGTTACGCTGGGACTTTTCGCGCTCTGTGCTTGAGCAAATGCCTTAGCTACTTTCTTGTGTCTCTTATTTGTAAAGCGGGGATGATATTACTTGGTCTGAAAATTAATGATAATGTATGTGAAGGCCTTGGCCCATATAAAGTTCTAAATAAACTGCAGCTATTTAGTAATAGTATCGGTCAGACATGGGAGGATAGCAATCACACTAAGCTGTCCATGGTTACTGCTGACACTGACCTGTGCTCCCACCCGTTTCTGTTCTGTCTGGGTGGGGACTTCAGCAGCAGATATCAGCTAAAGATGGGAGCCTTGCTTTCATAAGCCTGCTGTCACGGGGGAGAGGGAGACACCTCGGTTCTTGCCTTCTTGAGGGAAAGATTTCAATCAAGAGACAAAGTGCAGAAAAGCAAGCAAGAGTGTATTGACCTCAGCAAAAATATACTTAGGAGCGTGAAACAAGGAAGGGCATAGAAGCAGCAACAGGAGAGCCTATGCTGGGCCGCCTTAGCTCACTGGGAAGTCAGAGGAAAGGGGAGCCTTGGAGACAGGTTCAGGGGGTGAGCCCCAGACCAGCTGCTGCTGCCCATTACCCCCCTGGTTGCTAGTCTCATGGAGTCCCTTAGAGGTTAGGGGATATGTGCATACAAGCGGGAGGTGGTGGGGGGAGCAGAAGGGGAAGGGAATGGCAGGGGCATGCTCCCTGGGAGAGTGCACTGGCATCTTCATTTTCAGGGGTTTTATTTTATTTTTAAGTATTTGTGTTCCTTTCAGAGAGGAAGGGAGAGGGAGAGAGAGAAACATCAAGGATAAGAGATAATCACTGATCAGCTGCCTCCTGCACACCCTACACTGGGGATCAAGCCAGCACCCAGGCACGTGCCCTGATGGGGAATCGGACCTTGACCTCCTGGTTCATGGGTTGACGCTCAACCACTGAGCCACACCTGCCTGGTGCAAACCATTTACTCTTAAGTGTCCTTGGTTTAGGGAAAATAGGATTTACTAGGTTGCTGCAAACTGCTGTTTAACTGTCTGTCTCAGTTCCCCTATTTTGGAATTTTTCTAGCTTCTTACTATTCTATAACATGACTGGGTCCAATCTAGGGTTTAGCACTATTATACGATCTTTTTTTTTTTTTTTTAATCATTGTAATGGAAAACTCTCTTTTTAAAAAACAAATTGTTGATTGATTTTAGAGAGGGGAAGAGAGAGAGAGGACATGAATTTGTTCCAGCTATTCATGCATTCATTGGTTTGCTTCTTTTGTATGTGCCCTGACAGGATGGAACCCACCTCTAACCAACTGAGCTACCTGGCCAGGGCCCAAAACTTACCGTCTTTTAAAGACTCACTTTAAAATCAAGGTGCTTATTTGATGTGATGTCTTTGCTAGGTTCGCTTTAAAGTGACTTACAAATCCCTTGGGCTTTATTTTTCTGTCAAGTGACCTTTATCTCCTAGTTCTTTAACGTAAGGAAAGGTACCCTAGCCGTGGGTGCAATTATTGTATTCAACTTTTAGTAACTGCATTCGCTCGAAAATCATACCTGGAAGAAAAGCGCCTGTTTTGTAAGATCTACCTTTGCCTGTGGGCTCTGATGAAGGGAATGACTCTGAAATGCTGGTTTGCAAATCAGAAGCCCTTCCGTGTTTAAAGAGTTAAATACGGGCTTGGCTGCGGTCCACAGCCGGAGAGCCCCGGGGGCTCGGCCGCGGGCGGGCGGACCGGCCTGGAGGTGCGGGGGCCGCGGGACTCCGCCCGAGAGAGGGCGGCGCCCGGCTCCCCGCCCCGCCCGCCCGCGGCCCGGCGCCCGGCACCCCCGCGGCCGCGGTAGTTTCTCCTGATGATGCAAACACTCACTTCCCGCATCCACTTCCCACAGAGGCCGCCGAGCCCGCGGCCGCCGCGCGCGCCATGGGCAACATCCAGAGGAAGATGACGGGCCGGGGCGAGGCGGGCAAGCGGCCGGAGAAGGGCGCGCCGCGGCGGGGTCGCACGCCGGGGCCCGGCGCCGACCAGCGGGGCCGCCCGAGCGCCCCGGCCCCCGCCGGCCGCGCCAACGGGCACCCTGGCGGCAGCAAAGGCGCCCGGGACCCGGTGGCGGCCGACGCGTCCCCGGCACCCGGCGCCCCGCCGCCCGCCCCCGCCGCCCCGGCCGGCCCCTCGGGCCTGAAGAGCCAGGGCAACGAGCTGTTCCAAACCGGACAGTTCGCCGAGGCGGCGCTCAAGTACTCGGCGGCGATCGCGCAGCTGGAGCCCGCAGGTAGGCGAGCGGCGCCCGCCCGCGGTTCCCCGGCCCCCGGGCTGAGCGTCACGGGCCCTGGAGGGCAGAGGCGCCGGCACCTCCCGAGAGGCGGGCGCTGGCCTGTCTGCATTCCTCCCCGGTGGCCGAGGGCGGTGCGTGGCTGGACCCCGGGGAGCGGGCTGCACCTGGGGATGCGCAGTGTGCGCCCCGGCGAGGGTCCCCGCGCGCGGTCCCAGCCCCCGGGCCACTGCGGGCGGGCGCGCGGCTCCCCCGAGCTCTGCGCGATCAGCCGTCTCCAGCGCTGCAGTGCCGCCGGGGACCTCTGTGGCCCGCCGTGGTGTCATGCCGGAGGAGTGGAGTTTGCTCATGGATTTTAACTGTGTTTACTTCAATGTGATTTTAGGAAGCGGAAGCGCGGACGATCTAAGTGTCTTATATTCAAATAGAGCAGCGTGTCACCTCAAGGAAGGAAACTGCAGTGGCTGCATTGAAGACTGTAACAGGTAAACGGCCGCTTTCCGGTTTGTCCCGCGTTGTTAAATCGTTTCGAGGTGGTGGATGCGGTAAATTACCGCCCTTCTGAGTTTTCTGCATGACTCATTTCTTAAGAAGTTGTAAGGTATGTTAATTGACTGGTAACCATAAATTCTCTTTAGCCTATAGGTGCTATACTATAGGGAGACAGTCATAGAAGGTTGTGCACACTTTTCAGATCTCCACTGCTGCCACCTCCCGTGCTCTTTTCATGGCAGGCCTGGCCTGCGGGAGAAAACTTCCCCCTACCCTCCCTGCCTCCTGCAGTCCACCGTGGCATCAGAACTTTTCCGGAAACGGTCTTGCTCACACTGTTTCAAACAGGTGTTCCCTAGCTCAGCACACTCTCCCAGACAGTTCTAAACTGCTCTGTCACCACATTGCTCCCCAGACAAGCCTTCTGCTCCCCTTCGGCCCACTGTCTTCAGTGGGCCCTGCACACCTTTGCTTCTGAAATTTCTGCTCAGCCACCCCCCTCGACGCCCCCCTCTGCCTGCCTGGTCACCTTCAGCCTCCCTGGGCACCTTCAGCCTCCCTGGTCATCTTCACATCTGGACACTTGCACTGTCACTCTCTCGCCTGCAGGTGCTTGTGTCCTCCCCGGCTTTGGATTGCAAGCTCTGTGCGGTCAGGAGCCATGTCTTATACAGCTTTGCATCCCCCAAGCACAGTAGTCACCATGGTGCCCTGCCAGTTACATGCTGAAATAGAGGAAACACACTTTCATGAATAAAAAGTATGGTTTTCTTTTACCATTAAGTAGTGAGCCTTCCTCAGGAGCCTTTTGGAAAGAAGCTGTTATTAGTGAATCTAGAAAATAAGAACTCATATGTCCTGGTTTGACCTTAACATTCCTGGATTACTCCTTTCGTCTGGTATAATTATTCATATCACCCCCTTTTGCTCTCAGAAGCCCCCGTTTGGACAGTAACTTAAGTGGACACCCTGATTATAAGGTGAACGATTCATTTTTTTTTCACTGGTAGTATCAGTTTAATGCAATGGGTAAAAACTTGTTAGTATCTGTGTCTACATTTTTTTTATCCTCACCTGAGGATATGTATATTGATTTTAGAGAGAGAGGGAGGGAGAGAAAGAAACATTGATGTGAGAGAAAAACATTGAACCTGTAATCTAGGTATGTGTCCTGATTGGGAATCGAACCCTAAACTTTTTGATGTAAAGACAATGCTCCAACCAGCTGGGCCAGCTGGCCAGGGCTATGTCTACAGTTTAAAAAGAAGGCCTTTGCTGGTGTGGCTCAGTGGTTGACCATTGACCCAAGAGGTCCCAGGGCCGGTTCCCAGTGGGCATATGCCCAGGTTGCGGGTTCCATCCCTGGTCATGGCGCGTATGGAAGGCAACTAATCAATGTTTCTCTCTTTTTCTCTCTCCCTTCCTCTCTCTAAGCATGTCCTCAGGTGAGGATTTTTTTTTTTTTTTTTAAGGTCTTGGTGCTCGGATTTTTTGCCAATTTTACATTCAAATTTTAAATAAATAATATTTATATTCATTCTGGCCTGACTTTAGACCTCATCCACTATTGTGCTAGTTCACATTAGCTAATTGTTGTTACATTTTCAGGGATTTGTGAATTGGTCGAAGTCAAGTGGGTAGCTCGAAGTCTGCCATGGTGCAGTACTAATACCATGAAAATTGGCAAATGCCATAAACCTGGGCTTTTTTTCTCCAGGAGAGCCGGATGTTAAACATTTACCACTGCCCATAACTAACCAACAAGACCACGTGAATTTGCAGAACATCAGGCGCACTGCGATCTGCAGCCAAGAACCTGTGAGAGGGCTAAAATAATAATAATACTTTTCCTTCCACTGTCTAAGTTCTAGCTGGGCTCATAATCAAAGTAACAGAGGAATATTAATAGGAGAAAATCAAATTTTAGCACATGTGCATGGGGAATTCACATACGTATGAAAATTCCAAAGAGACAGTGAGGTAAAATTTGGTATATATATAATTTTTGACAAAGAAGGGAGGGGAACACACATGGCAGGTAAAGATTTGCTAGACAACCCAGAAACAATGAGATGGCAGGGGGATCTAGTAAACAGGCCCCTGCTTGAGGCCTTTCTGCCGACCATACTTCATTCAAATTAGGCCAAGATGTGTATGGGCAAGATTGCTTTCCTGGAGCAGGTTTTCCTATCTCAATCTCTTGGGCAGGAAAGGAGGGAAAGATCAAAGGTTCATTTCTAATTCATTTGTTTCTTAATAGCCAGCTTTTATAAAAATATGGTTTTATTGATTTGAAAGAGAGAGAGAGAGAGAGAGAGAGAGAGAGAGACATCAATAATAAGAGAATCATCAATTCAGCTGCCTCCTACATGCCCCCCACTGGGGATCAAATTGAAACCTGGCCATGTGCCCTGACCAGGAATCAAACTGTGACCTCTTGGTTCATGGATAGACGCTCAGCCACTGAGTGACATCGGCCAGGCTTTTCCCCCCGTCCCCCCTGAGGACATGCTTAGAGAAAGGAAGAAAGGGAGAGAGAGACATACACACACATTGATCTGTTGCCTTCAGTACGTGTCCTGAACGATTGAACCTGCAACCCAGGTATGTGCCCTGACCAGGAATGAAACTGGCAACCTTTCACAGGACAATGCTCAGTCAACTGAGCCACTCCAGCTGAGCTCAAAAAGCACAGGTTTTTGGGTGTCAAAACATTATTTCCCTTCAACCCTTTCCACTTAGGTGTCCGTTGCTAATACATTACCCTTCAGACTTGTCTTAGGTATTCCCTACAGTGAGTGAAATCTAGGACTCTTTATTTAAAAACCCAGTACCTGTACAGACAAGGCTACTGTCAAACAGTGGACTCACGTTGTCCTTAAGTGAGATTGTTTAAGGTGGCAGGCATTTTCTTGTTAAAACTTGTGTTTCATTGTAGACCCAAGAGGAGGTGAAAGATGGGACTCCAGCCATGGTGTCCAGGGAGGCTAGAATGGAGGTTTGTCTGAAGGGACAGCCGGCCTGCTGGGGAAGGAGATGGGTGGAGCTTAGGTAAGGTGTCCTTAAAACATTGTCTTCTGGGCCTAGGAATCCAGCTCTGTTGGTCAGTACTGACCTCCAGCATAAGGGGCATGGGTGGTTTCACTCCAGAGCATTGGTTCTCAAACTCTTTTTGTTGTTGTTGTTGTTTTATATATTTTATTGATGTTTTACAGAGAGGAAGGGAGAGGGACAGAGAGTTCAGAAACATCGATGAGAGAGAAACATCGATCAGCTGCCTCCTGCACACCTCCTACTGGGGATGTGCCCACAACCAAGGTATATGCCGGAATTGAACCTGGGACCTTTGAGGCCACAGGCCGACGCTCTATCCACTGAGCCAAACTGGTTAGGGCATGTTGTTGTTGTTGTTGTTGTTGTTTTAATATATTTTTATTTCAGAAAGGGAGGGAGAGGGAGAGAAAGATAGAAGCATCAACAATGAGAGAGAATCATTGACTGGCTGCCTCCTGCACACCTCCTACTGGGGATCAAGCCCGCAATCTGGGCATGTGCCTTGATGGGGAATTGAACTGTGACCTCCTGGCTTATCGGTCCATTCTCAAACACTGAGTCACACCAGACGGGCAATACAATCTTGATTGTATGTTCTATTTCAGAATATAATGAACTACTTTAAGTAGCGAAGTAGTAGCTTTACACAGTTACTTCAAACAAAACCAGTGAACATAACCTTGAAGTACATCTCTAGTGATACTGAAAATACTTCATAGAGTAGTCCAAGATTAAAATTCACGGCTTAAAGAAGTCATTGTATGCCTGTCTGGTGCAGCTTGGTGGTTGAGCATCAACCTATGAACCAGAAGGTCAAGATTCAGTTCTGAGTCGGGGCACATGCCTGGGTTTCGGGCTTGATCCCCAGTGGGGGGCGTGCAGTAGATAGCCGGTCAATGATTCTCTCTCATCATTGATGTTTCTAACTCTCCTTTTCCTTTCCTCTCTGAAATCAATAAAAATATATTAAAAAAGGAAGTCATCGTATGCCTCCTTGATGACCTCTGGTCTATTTTTGAGGCTCTTTAGAAGCAGGTGAATAATAAAAAACTGTATTAATTTTTGGAGAGCTAATTTTCAAACAGCAATGCAAGTTTTTGTGGTTCTGTGCTAAGGTGCCTTATTAAATACATAGGTGCAAATAAAAAGTTCCCTTTTAATCCTTCAACAACAATCTGTTGAAAGCCTGCTCTGTGCCTGGTGCCGTGATGGGCTCTATTAGGGTGTGTGTGGGGAGAGGGTGTGTTAGGAGTGAGGGTATAATGGGGTGAGGGCAGGGGAGGATGTAGAAAGAGGTGCAGAGGTGGGTGAGGCGCACTGTCTGCTGCCAGGGAGCTCAGTTTCAGTGGGGGAAGAGCAAATGAATGCCAACGGGCTTTGGTCCTGGTTTAAAAGAAAGGAAGTAACCACAGATTTGATTGTTCTGCTACTCAGGGTTTGCCTTTCTGGCATGTTGCCAGGTCCTGAAGATGAAATGCCAGGTAGGTGTGTATTTGAGTCCAGTGCCGCAGGGTACATTCAGTTAGTCTAAGTTAAAGAGTAACTTTCAGAACAAATGACATGTCATATTTTTGTCTTCTTTAGGGCTCTGGAACTTCATCCATTCTCCGTTAAACCTCTTCTTCGACGAGCAATGGCCTATGAAACTTTAGAGAAGTATCAGAAAGCTTATGTGGATTACAAAACGGTGTTGCAAATAGACTGCGGAATCCAGACAGCCAGTGACAGTATTAACAGGTAACGTGATCTGAGGGTTAGATGTTTTCTAATGGAATGAGATTCTTTTTCTTTCCCTCCTTCAAGAATGGTGTCAGAGCGTGCGAGTGTTCTCAGTGACTGACTACACGAGTGATTGCTGCCTTTCCCTCCATCCAAACCAAATGGTTCTCTTTCCATCTTAATTTCTAAGTATTCCATAATACATTGAGTTGTCCTCGAATACCTTGAAACTATTTTTTTTTTGCAATGTTAAAAATTAATTTTCGAGAGGAAGAGAGAGAGCGAGAGAAAGAGAAACGACCGACGTGAGAGAGAAACATTGATAGGTTGCCTCCCACATGCACCTCGACCAACCTGGGGATTGAACCTGAAACCTGGGTATGTGCCCCAACTGGGAATTGAAACCACCACATTTTGGTGTATGGGATGATGCTCCAACCAACTGATCCACACCAGCCAGGGCCTCTAATACCTTTATATTTGTTTCCTTTATATTTCTCCATTTATTACTATTCAGTGAATATTCTTTTTTTTTAGTTTTTTTTATTGTTAACAGAACTGGATTACAGATGTCCCCTCATCTCCCCCACTCCTTTCCCCACCCTCCACTCAGCCCCTGCCACACCCCAGGCCGCGCCCCTATTGTCTGTGCCCCTGGGCTATGCATATAAGTTCTTGGTTAATCTCTTCTTGTCCCTGCCCCCCACCTTCCCTCTGAGAGCTGTCAGTCTGTTCCATGCATCCATGCCTCTGAATCTATTTTGTTTGTCAGTGTATTTTGTTCATTAGATTCCACATATAAATGAGGTAATTGATGTTATCTGGCTTATAAATGAGATGATGTGATGTTGTCTGGCTTATTTTGCTTAGCATAATAATCTCTAGGTCCATCCATGTTGTCCAAAGGGTAAAAACTCTTTTTATAGCTGCATAGTATTTCATTGTGTAAATGTACCATAGCTTTTTTTTGTTTTGTTAACCCTCACCCGAGGAGATTTTTTCCATTGATTTTCAGAGAGTGGAAGGGAGGAAGGAAGAAGGGGAAGAGAGAGAAACATTGCTGTGAAAGAGACACATTGATTGGTTGCCTCCTGCACTTGCCCCTGACCAGGGCAGGATTCGAACCTGCAACCCAGGTACCTAGAATCGAACCTATAAGCCCTTGGTTTGTGGGCCAATACTCTAGCCATTGAGCACACTGGCCTGGCCTGTACCACAGCTTTTTTATCCACTCATATACTGAGGGGCACTTGGGCTGTTTCCAGATCTTTGCTATTGTAAGTAACGCTTCTATGAACATAGGAGTGCATACATTCTTTCTGATGGGTGTTTCTGATTTCTTGGGGTATATTCCTATAAGTGGAATTGCTAGATCAAAAGGCAGATCTATTTTTAATTTTTTGAGGGAACTCCATCCTGTTTTCCACAGTGGCTGTACCAGTCTGCATTCCCACCAGCAGTGCACAAGAGTTCCCTTTTCTCCACATCCTTACCAGCACTTGTTTGTTGATTTCTTAATGGTAGCCATTCTGGCAGGTGTGAGGTGATATTAATTTGCATTTTTTTCTGATGACTGAGCATTTTTTCATTTATCTCTCTTGGCCATCTGAATGTCCTCTTTAGAGAAGTGTCTACTCAGGTCCTTTGCCAAGTTTTTTTATTGGATTGTTTATCTTCCTTTTGTTGAGTTCTCTATATATTTTGGAAATTAAACCTTTATCAGATATATCATTGGCAAATACGTTCTCCCATACAGTGGGCTCCCTTTTCATTTTGATGATGGTTTCTTTTGCTGTGCAAAAGCTTTTCAGTTTGATGTAGTCCCATTTGTTTATTTTTTTCTTTGTTTCTCCTGCCCTAGGAGACGGGTGAAAATTCTGCTACGTGAGACGTCAGATTTTACTGCCTGTGTTTTCTTCTAGGATTCTTCCGGCTTCGTGACTTACATTTAAGCCTCTTACCCATCTTGAGTTTATTCTTGTGTATGTGTAACTCGGTGGTCTCGTTTCTTTCTTTTGGCATGTGCTTGTCCAGTTTTCCCAGCACCGCTTATTGAAGAGACTGTCTGCACTCCATTGTATGCTCTCGCCTCCACTGTCAAATATTAATTGACCTAATGGCTCTGGTTGATTTCTGTGCTCTTTGTTCTGTTCCATGGATCTATTATTGCCAGACTGCTTTGATTACAATAGGGATTGTGTTGAATCTATAGATTGCTTTGGGCAGTGTGGAATTATGTCTAATACATGAACTCAGTATATGCTTCCATTTGTTTGTATCTTTCTTTATTTCTTTGTTCAATGTCCTATATTTTTCTGAATATAGGTCTTTTACCTCCTTGGTTAGGTTTATTCCTAGACATCTTACTTTTTTTTGTTGCAATGGTAAATGGGATTTTTTTTAGTGTCTCTTTCTGAGAGTTCATTATTGGTGCATAAAAATGCCACCAAGCGCTAGCCAGTTGGACTCAGTGGATAGAGCGTTTGCCTACGGACTGAAGGGTCCATAGGTCAATTCCGGTCAAGGGCAGGTACTTGCAGGCTATTGGTTACTGGATCTAGACTGGACCTAGATCAGCCCTTGGGCATTCACAGCCTCCTCCTTCCTCTCAAGCTTGTACCATCAGGAGGGTCCCCTGGGAGCTCCCCAAGCCGTTTGCCCTGCTGCAGAGCCACCTCACTGCATGTCAGCTGCTGCCTCCTCCTACGTTCCTGACACCCTTTTTCTTTTTTCTTTTCTTCTTTTTCCTGGTTAACTCCATCTCATCCTTTAGGAGCGGATTGCTCCCTGGAGGAAATGGCTTTCCCTGATCTACTCATCTCTCTCCCCACACCATATATGCACTTCAGGCTTCCTGCCTCAGTGCCCCCAGAACACCGTGCCTCTTATCACCCAGCTGCCATATTGTGTGCAAATGCTCTGTCCTTCTCTTCTTGTAAAATATGCTTTCTCTCATCCTTCTAGGAGTTCCTTGAGGTCAGGACTTGTGTTTTATCCATCTCTGTAGTTTCGGGAACTTGCACAGCAGATATCCTCAGGGAAAAGGTTGAGTGCATGCGTTCTCCAGCAGAGAGGGCATAGCTCACTTTGGTGCTGGGTGGGGCTCTCCCTGGGAGTCTCCAAAATCGTCAGGGGAAGTGGGAACTTCTCCCAGAGTCAGCGGTTCCCGTGGAACAAAGCAGGAAGACACCTGGCGTATCTGACAGAGAGGAAGGGCCTGCCGAAGAGCTGTTTTAGGAGTCGCACTTCATGGTGATAGGCTGAACGCTCTGAAGGGAGAGAGAGGTCTGAGAGACCGTGTACTCACATTTCTGAGCCTTCTGCATTATGATTTCTAAAACAGTTGAAGTGTAAGTCACATAACATAAAATTAACTATTTTAAAGTATGTAATTTAGTGACTTTTCTAGTATATTCACAGTGTTGTGCTATCTCTATCTAGTTTAAAGCATTTCATCACTCCAAAAGGAAACTCCTCATTCTTATTCTCATTCCTCATTCTCCCTCCTCACATCCCCTGACAAACACTAATTTCCTTCCTGGCTCCGTGGATAATTCATGTAAATGGAACCATAGGCTATGAACCCTTTGTGTTTGGCTTCTTTCACTTAGGGAATGTTTTTAAGGTTCATCCATGGTGTAGCATATATCCGTGCTTCCTTTTTATGGCTGAGTAATATTCCATTGCATAGATGTATTACAGTTGTCTATCCATTCATCCATCAATGGACATTTGGGTTGTTTCCACCTTTTCGCTATTGTGAAAAGTGCTGCTATGAATATTGAAGTACAAGTTTCTGTTTGCATACCTGTTTTTAGTTCCTTTTGTTGTATACCTAAGAGTCAAATTGCTGGGTGATGTGGTAATTCTGTTGAATTTTTTGAGGATTGCATTATACTTTTTATATGTGTGCAAGAAGGTTCTTTTATACAAACTAACTTTTAAGACTCATTTTTTAAATTGAGTGGTTCTTGCTGGTATATTTTATATAAAATGAGGAGGCTTTGTCTGGTATTGCCATATATGCTTTTCTGTAAAATAGCCAGTTTAAAATTTTCACCATTCTTTTTCATGAACCCCATATGGATGCTTGCGTTTCCATCTAAGCGACAGCAGTTTTTTATTTACGGAAACATTTGTGTGTATTTTGTTTCTGTCTCCCATTAATCACACTCCTCTCTTCCTCTCTAGGAATCTTATATGTAAAATTCCCTGCATATACTTATTTACTCCCTGGCAACACATCATCTCTTTTTCGCTGCTTCTTCCTTCCTCCCTGCGGGTAATACAAGTTTTGCTTGAAAATTCTTATTTTCTAAAGCTTCTTTTTCTTTTGCAGTTGTGGGTGGTTACTGTTATACGTTATTTTTCAAATTTATTTTTTACACCAAAATATATGATACTTGGTTATCATAACCAAAGAGCAAATATTGAAGTTTCAGTTTAAAAAACTGGGAAATTATGTGTACGCTATTTGTCTCTATAAATATAAAAATTTTTCACACAAAAAGTACTACCGAGTTAACTAACTTGAATGCATTCTACTAATTACCAGCCAACCTTCAGTCTTGAGGAGCACCCTTTTAAAACCAGATTCATTCCAAAGACATAATTCTGTTTTGTTTTTAAATAAAAGTGTGATATTTTATATGTTAAAAATGATGAAAGTGATAATCGGGGATGTTAATCTGAATTTTATGATGGCTATTAGGAAATGTCATTAATACAAGGACCCTCATAGACTCCAGTATCCTATTCTTTATTATTTATGCATATGAAAACACAAAAAAAGTGAGTTATTTTAGAGATGAAAGCAATATAAGGTAAGAGCATTTTAACTGCAGGTAAATATTTTAAGAAAAAGCAATATTCCACATGACGGTTTTAGCCCAGGCTTTATTTATTTATTTATTTATTATTGATTGGTTTGAGAGAGAGAGAGAGGAAGGGAGAGGGATAGACAGATAGAAACATCGGTGAGAGAGAGACATGGATCAGCTGCTGCCTCCTGCACATCCCCTACTGACTTCACAGCCCGGGCATGTGCCCTGAATGGGAACTGGACCAGGCTCCCCTTTGTTCATAGGTTGACACCCACACCAGCCGGGCTGTTGGTTGATTCTTGTATGTGCCCTGACTAGGGATTGAACCCATAATCTTGGAATGACTCTCTGAGTATCCCACCGGGGTAGCCCAGTCTGTACCCCTATCTTTACAGTCTGGGCATAGAACTTCCCTAGTGCTTCTGAGCATTCTCAGGAATAATACATTATCCATTCAGTAGTCATATTACTTGTTATGTGGGACATTTCTTTTAGGCCTCCTCAATTTTGTTTTTATATTTCACCTTTTTAAAAATTAAAATGTTATTCATGTATATTTTTAAACAAATTACAGATGTCTTAATTTTTATCTTTTGATACAAAAAGAATCTAAAGTTACATAATTTGGAGGCCCTAGCCTGGTTTGGCTTAGTGTATATAGAGCATCGGCCTGAGGACTGAAGGGTCCCGGGTTCGATTCTGGTCAATGGTACATACCTGGGTTGCAGGCTCCTCCCTGGCCCAGGCCCTGGTCCGGGCTCGTGCAGGAGGCAACCAATTGATTTGTTTCTCTCACATCGATATTTCTCTCTGTCTTTCCCTCTCTCTTCCACTTTCTCTAAAAATCAATGGAAAATATCCTCGGGTGAGGATTAAAAAAAAAAAAGTAAAATAAAATTACATAGTTTTTGGCAACTTTAAAAAGTCCTTTTGGAGAGTTTATGTGGACAGGGAAGTACACAAATGCATAGCATTTGTAAATCTTACCTGTTTGTTTTGTTTTTGTTAATCCTCACCCTAGGATATTTTTTCCATTGCTTTTCAGAAAGAGTGGAGGGGAGGGAGAGAGGAGAGAGAGAGAAACACCGATTTGAGAGAGGCACATTGACTGGTTTCCTCCTGCACGCGCCCTAACCTGGGGTGGGGAGTGAACCCACAACACAGGTATGTGCTCCTGACCGGGAATCGAACCCATGACTCTTTGGTGCATGGGCTGATAGTCTAACCATTGAGCAACACTGGCCAGGGTGTAAATCTTAACTCTTGATATGACCTTTGGTAATATAAAAAGCAAATTGCATGATCAATAGCGAAAACTCATGTTCTTTTTAGAATAACAAGAATTTTAATGGATCTGGATGGACCACGCTGGCGGGAGAAGCTGTCACCCATACCTTCTGTGCCCACTTCTGCGCAGTTGCGAGCGTGGCGGCCTACGGCAGAGACGCCCCCAGGCCAAGTGGGAGATTCCTGCAGCCATCACCAACCGGGCAGCACAGGTAGGGGAAGTCTGTACTCATTTCTTTCAAGGGTTGAGCCCTGTACCTTTCACAGTAGAGCAGTAGAATAAGAGCATAAATGTAGGCGTCAGACCTGGGACTAAGGCCCTGTTTACCCTCTTTCTAACTACAGAGTCTTACGAACTTGCTTCACACCTCCAGTGTCCTAATGGATATGATAGGGATTAACATGAGTAACTACCTCATGGAGTTGCTCCTAGGAATAAATGGAGCGATGCATGTAAAATACTTAGCACGTGCTGACTGTACGATTACAGTAGCCTCAATAAAGATAGCATTATATTAACAGTAAGAAGGACAAGAGTCAAGTCGCGTGTAGCTCTCTGTGACACCATTAAGACTGATGCGTTTGAAATAAAAAGCACCCTACTACGTAAGTAGGCAGCAGATACTTCTGCCTTGTGTCATAGTTGTGAACGTGGCTGCATTGCCGTAGGACCGACCTCATTGCTTTGTGCCGTGGTTAATAAATGGGACTGCCCTCTTGCTTTCTGCTTTAAAGCTAGTTGAGGCCTCATTTCTCCTGCCTGCTGAGGAACTCCTGTGTGTTCCCTGGATGAGCTTCATCTTGCAGAAACCCTGAAGCTCCAGAGCCGTGGTGTCCCAGGGGCTAGTGTTAGACCTTCATCTCTCATTGCCTTGAAAGAAGATGCAGGGACCATCTGCCAAGGCTTTTAGATGACTTAGCGGTCCCCGGGAAATCACAGCGATCTCTGCTTTTCTAGAGTCCGTTATTAATGGGGCCTGGCTCAAAGCATTTGCTCAATGAAGGGTGGCTATAATTTACAAAGTACATATACTAACCATACTGTAGATATGTCATAGCTAATCATAAGGACACGTATAGTCAGCTCTTTCTGTCCCTGGTGTACTGATTACTAGTGAGAATGGATACCAGGGGCTTACACACCTTGTTGGAAGAAAAGCTGGAGGGAAGGTTTTTAATTTTTAGCAAATTGAGGGGCGGAAATACTGTGTTATTTTGTTTTAGAGCTTATAGATACCAGCATTCATGGGGAGTGTCATTTGACCCCTTTGAAACTTGAAACATTAGAAATATTCTGTTATTTGAAATAAGAAAATGAAAAATTAAGATTTTATGCCATTTGTACAGAGGGACAAATAAGATTATCATTTACATTCAAGTTTATGCTATAAATTCAATATACCTATCAAGATTTTTAGATCACAGAATTTAAAGGTATAGTTTAGATTTTAGGTTAAGGATTTTTATTTATTTACCAGTATATAAAGTTATTCATAGGGTAAAGTTACTACATAGATTTAAAACGTAAAATTCTAACAGTTTATGTGTGTTAGAAAACTTTGCTTGTAAGTAACAGAAAATTATAAGTAATGGTTTTGGCTCAAGTAACTAAAAGGGCCCAGATAGGCTCTAAAATCATGCACAGCTCATCAGGGTTCAGGCTCTGGCCGGAAACAATGGAACCACAGCCGTTTTAGGCTTCATGTCTGTACATATCAATGTCCAAAGGGAGAGAAACACCATTGCTTTTGGTGGCATTAATTTAAGAATGAGGAAATATGTTGCCCCAAAGTCATAGCTTTTTTATCCTGTTGTTCTGTTGGCTCGAATTTTGTTGCTACTTTTTTTTTTTTTAATGTTTTTATTGATCTTTAGAGAGAGGGGAAGTGAGAGGGATAGAGAGATAGAAACATCTATGGGATAGAAACATCATCAATAGGCTGCCTCTTGCATGCCCCCTACGGGGGATAGACCCCACAACCTGGGCATGTGCCCTGACCAGGAATTGAACCAGGAACCTCTTGGTTCAACCGCTGAGCCACACCAGCCGGGCACTGTTGCTACTTATTCTAATGGGTCATGTGCTGATGGAGAAATGCTATGCACTGGTTGGCTTAGGCCTAAATTCCTGATCACTAGGGTCAGCTTCTCCTGAACACATGGGCTGAACAGAAGGTGGTAGCTGCGAGGGACCCTCGGGGGGACGGGAGTGGGGGGTTGGGGTGGGGGGAATGGATCCTGCGCAGGCAGTCCGCCATGATCACTACAAGACAATAGCTAATGATAATAGTTAGGACACTGGTCACAGATAACAAAACCCAACTCTTAATATCTTGAAGCAAAAAATAAATAAATAAATAAAAGAAAGAAACAAACCCCACAAAACAGGTTGTTTTGGGCTCTTACAGTGGAGAAGGCCACAGGGGGGTAGCTGTGGGAAGGCTGGATTTAGGCCTCATTCTCCTTCAGCTCTCTGTCTTGGCCTTTCTCTTGCTCTGTTGGCCCCATTCGCAGATAGACTCTTCCTTTGTCTCATAGGATGGCAACATCGCCCCTCCTTTCACCCTCATTCCCCGGGAAAGAGCAAGAATTACCTTATCAGATGCTGCCACAAAATTCATAGTGCAGCTCGTTGACTCTCATAGGCCCAGCCCTGACCAGTTAGATTGTTTTGGCCAGGGAAATATAATGTGTTGATCAAAAAAACCCCAAAGTTTACCCCAAAAGGTAGGGCTAGGGTAGGGGTTGCTTTAAGCCACAGGAGTGAAGACTGGAGGAGGTGTGACTTTCCCAAGAACTTTAGGGTACTGGACAGATGTCTCCTTCATGCTTCCGTGGGTTGGTTTGTCCATTTTTCACGAAATAGTGATTTAATGAAACACTAAATTTTTATTTTTATTTTTATTTTGGAAAGCACATTGGTTAAAGCTGGGCTCAGTGAAACAAGAAAGGGCTGAGGATAGTGGAAGCCACAGGAGAACCTAAGCGAGGCTGCCTTAGCTCACAGGGAAGTCAGAGAAAAGGGCGACACTAGGTATTCCTGTCTCTCGCAGGGAAAAGGGATGCCAATGTGGATGAAGATGATAGAAATACTTGTATTTTACATGTTTTCTACTTTGAAAAAAGTGTCATAATTGTAAATCACTTCCACTTACAGCCAGTTTATCTCTCTAATTTGTATACAGTTTTATTCCATTTAGACTCTAGCTCCGCACGGTATGGGGCAAGTTGATTTGCAATAGGAGATGTCCTTACAGCTGCACTTGAGATTTTGTAGAGGTGCTTTCTATAAGCATTTCCTCTGTTTTTATCTTTTGGGTTCCATAGATGAAAAAACGTTTAAAACCCTTAAAGAAGAAGGAAACCAATACGTAAAGGACAAAAACTATAAAGACGCACTTAGTAAATACAGTGAATGCTTACAGATTAACAATAAGGAATGTGCCATTTATACAAACAGGCAAGTTCTTTTTAACTTTATATATTTCTTATGTTAATATTTTCATTGTGAAAGTTTTTTCCATGGTTCTGATAATTTATGTAGCAAATTGTCTAAGAGGTGTGTGTGTTGGGGGGGGGGGCATAGGAGTTCTGGAGAGATTGCAGACATGTGGTGTGGTGGGCTGGGAGGTTGGGTGTGGCCTGTGTTACGCAGAGGCTGGTGTTCCGGCCTGGATGGGTGCTCTGACCCTTCCAGGCGGTGGCCTTGCTGCAGCTACAGGCCTGAGTGTTGTCCTCCTTGGTGGGAGTGTCATAAGTGCCCTTCTTCTCTTGAAGTGTTAAAGCAGTGGTTCTCAACCTGTGGGTCGCGACCCCTTTGGGGGTCGAACGACCCTTTCACAGGGGTCGCCTAAGACCATCGGAAAACACATATATAATTACATATTGTTTTTGTGATGAATCGCGATGCTTAAATTATGTTCAATTTGGAACAATGAAAATACATCCTGCATATCAGATAGTTACATTACGATTCATAACATTAGCAAAATTATAGTTATGAAGTAACAATGAAAATAATTTTATGGTTGGGGGTCACCACTACATAAGGAACTGTATTAAAGGGTCGCGGCATTAGGAAGGTTGAGAACCACTGTGTTAAAGGAAGGGGTCAGCCTCTGTAGTGTGCGGTAGGAATGGGCAGATTGTTCTAGAATGCTGCTCAGGTGCTATCTTCACCACATTGTGGTATAAGATAGTTACCTAGACGATGGTGATTTGGGGAATTTTAGGGAGTAAGTGGAATCTGGAATGACAAAGAAAAATAAGGTATAGTTCCTAAAGAAGAGGGACTCTTAGCGTGAGCTTTCTAGCTATTTCAGATTAATTCTTTTAACTGAACTTCTCACGGCTTTGTTTTTGTATCTTTTCCTCTATTGGTAACCTTTTTGCCAAAAATTTGTCACTGACCGCACCAGGTATTTTCCTACCCTTCTGCTCAGCCTCTGTGTTAGTGGCTGCTCAGTGTCCCGGACAGCCCTCTCTCCCTTTGGCGGCAGTGCCCACGGCTCAGTTGTCTGCCTCTCCTCTTCTCCCTCGGGCATTCTTGGAGTTCTAAAGGTGTAGACCCCTTTTTCATCCTCTATGCTCTCTGGCCATTTCATTCTCTCCGCAGTTCATTTAACCACCTTCCAGTTATGGTCTCTACTCTGTCCCTGAGTTTCGGACCTGAGCGCTCCCTCCCCTTCTGCGCTCCTGATGGGTTATCCCCCCCTGACTAATGCCTCCCTTTTCTGCCTTTTGTCTGCAACACCCTTCACGTGTGCCTGCAGTCTTGTTCCCTCCTTTCTCGTCCTCCAAGTGGCAGCCAGAGGGATCTTTCTAAACATGGTGAACACGTCAGCCCCTATTTAAAAACCCATTAAGTTCCGGATAAAGCTCAGCTTCCCTGGCACAATTTACAAGGCCCCTTGTGATCTGGCCTGCCCGCCCTCCCAATCTCATCCCTACGCTACGGCCATCTGGCACTTTTCTTATCCCGTTAGGAACATGGGATATGATCCAGATACTGCCCTATGCGGAGTGGCTCAGTTAGTTGAGTATCATCCCATGCACCAAAGGGTCACCGGTTCAAATCCTGGTCAGGGCACATATCCAGGTGTCGGGTTCTATCCCTGGTCTGTTTGCATATGGGAGGCAATGTTTCTCTTTCACCTCAATGTTTCTCTCTCTCCCTCTCCCTCTACTCTCTAAAAAAACCAAAAAAATTGATAAAAATGCACATGCTGGCCCTTGACCTCCACTCTCCTCTCCCTACATCTTAACTCTCACCCCAGTGCCTTTGCTTGGGTAATTGTCACTTCAGACTCCGGGCTTCAGTTTAAATGTCTCTTCTCCTGGGAAGTCTTTTCTGGCTGCTCTTGCCCTCTCCTTAGCCCCCCCCCCCCCCCCCCCAGATCTGATGAGACTCTCAGCTGTGTCCTCCCAGAGTACCCTTTACAGATTTTACTGTGTTTGCTTTTATTTTTAAAAATATGTTTTTATTGATTTGAGAGAGAGAGAGAGAGAGAGAGAGAGAGAGAGAGAGAGGAAGGGAGAGGGAAAGAGAGAAACATCAGTGAGAGAGAATTACTGATGGGCTGCCTCCTGCACACCCCCTACCAGGGTTGGAGCCTGCAACCCAGGCATGTGCCCTGGCCAGGAATCAAACTGGTAACCTCCTAGTACATGGGATGCTCAACCAATGGAGCCACCCAGCCGGGCATGTTTGCTTGTTTTATTTATTTATTTATTTATAAATATATTTTATTGATTTTTTTTACAGAGAGGAAGGGAGAGAAATAGTTAGAAACATCGCTGAAAGAGAAACATTGATCAGCTGCCTCCTGTACACTCCCACTGGGGATGTGCCCGCAACCATGGTACATGCCCTTGACCGGAATCGAACCTGGGACCCTTCAGTCCGCAGGCTGACGCTCTATCCACTGAGCCAAACCAGTTAGGGCTGTTTGCTTGTTTCAATTGTCTCTTCCTTGAGGGCCAGGGCTGTATTTTGTTTGCAGTTATATTCACAGTGTCATAATTACATGTGTTGCCAGAAAATGCCATGATTGTACGTCAGTGTTAGGTGTGAATTGAGAAACAGCCGTGGTCTATAGATACATACCTAATGAGCTATTTTCTGAGTTTCCTTAGCAGTCAAATTTATAGGTATAGTGTCTTTCCTTTTCATAATACTGAGTTCCCTTGTTACACCAGAGCTCTCTGTTACTTGAAGCTGTGCCAGTTTGAAGAGGCAAAGCAGGACTGTGATCAGGCGCTTCGGATAGACGACGGGAACGTGAAAGCGTGCTACAGGCGAGCTCTTGCCCATAAAGGACTCAAGGTGAGGACCTCTTCATTTCAACACATACAGTTCAGCTCCGAACAAGTCAGGTGGTTTTCCTGACCGCCAGCCTCGGGACCTAGGAACGGGAGTGAGATGATCCTGGGATTGAATCCCAGTTCTGTACCAACCAGCCTGAAAGCTTGGACGAGGCCTCAGCTTTCTCCTGATTATAACGTGGAGCTAGATCATTTCTAAGGCTCCTTCCAGCTCAAAAATGGTGATTTATTTCCTGATTTTCTGAAGAGTGTTGTTAGTTATGAAAAGTCTACTTAAAGGACAGGAATTTTTTTTTTTTTTTTTTTACTGACTTACTCCAGGCCACAGCACTGCCATTGGATTCTCCAGCAAAGGACCGGGGTTGTCTGGGGCGGGAGGAAGGCGTCAGAGGGAAGATGGTAGAGACATGTCAGAAATTGGGAAGCTCATGTTGATTTGGGTCTTAACTGACTGGCGATCAGTATGGGACTATCGAGTGGCATTCTTTAAGAGAATCACACTTTCAAAGAAAGTATTGTATAATTATGCTTTGGGTTTATTTTTGGTTTGGTCTTTAAATATTTTTGTTGTTGTTGATTTGAGAAAGAGAGAGAGAAACACTGACTGTGCTTTTCCACTCATTTATGCTTTCATGGGTTGCTTCCTGCATGTGTCCCGATGCGGGATTGAACCTGCAACCTTGGTGTACTGGGATGATGCTCTAACCAGCTGAGTTACCGGCCAGGGCTGCTTTTGTTTATGCTGGTTCTTCTGCATGGAAAACTTGAATGAATGATCATGTTTGTCTAAAATAACATCACAAGGGAAAAGCAGACCATACAAAACAAAATGAAATGGCTTTTTTTTTTTTTTATACTAACCCTGGCCTATTATGCTTTCTGCTGGTCATCTTTTTATTTTATTTATTATTATTATTATTTTTATTTTTAATCCTCACCTGAGGATATTTTTCCATTGATTTTTAGAGAGGGGGAAGAGAGAGGGAAAGATGGAGAGAAATATCGATGTGAGAGAAACACATTGATTGGTTACCTCCTGCATGAGCCTTGACCAGGGCCTGGACTGGAGAGGAGCCTGCAACTGAGATAGTGCCCCTGACCGAATCGAACCCGGGACCTTTCAGTCTGCAGGCTGACACTCTATCCACTGAGCTAAACCAGCTAGGGCTGAAATGGCATTTTTAATAGTCATTTTGATTAAGGTCTAATCCAGTGAAATTCACACATTGTAAATGTGCAGATCTTGGATTTCTTTCTCAGCAATTTTTTTTTTTAAATTGACATAGTCGTTTCATGTGCACAACATAATGGTATGTATATATAGCAAAATGATCACCATACTATCCATCACCACACAGTTACAAATTTTTTTCTTGTGATAAGAACTTTTAAGATCTATTCTCTTAGCACTGTCAGATATATATTACAGTGTTATTAACTTATTAACTACAGTCACCATACTGTACATTACACCCTCATGAATTATTTATTTATAATTTGAAGTTTGTACCTTTTGACCACCTTCACCCATAGTGCTTATTCTCCACCCCTCACCTCACCTCTGGCAACCACCAATCTGTTCTGTGTATGAGTTCGGGTTTTTTTTTGGTTTGTTTGTTTATTTAGATTCCACACAGTAGTGAGGTTATATGGTAATTGTCTTTCTCTGTATGACTTATTTCACTTGGCATAATGCCCTCAAGGTCCATGTTGTTGCAAGTGTCAGGATTGCCCTCTTTTTTTATGGCTGAATAATATTCCAGTGTGTATATATACACCACATTTTCTTTATCCATTCTTCCATCGATGGGCACTTAGGTTGTTTCCAGTTGTTGGCTATCGTAAATAACGCTGCCCTGAACTTGGCGGTGGGATATCTTTTTGAATTTGTGATTTTGTTTCCTTTGGATATATACACACAAGTAGTATTTTTAATTTTGAGGAAACTTCGTACTGCACCAGTTCACTTTACATCAACAGTACCCAAGGGCTCCGTTTTCTCCACATCCTTGTCAACACTTGTTATTTTTGTCTTTTTTCTAATGGCCATTCTAACAAGCATGAGATGATATCATTGTGGTTTTGGTTTGCATCTCCCTGATGATTAGTGATGTTGAGCATCTTTTTTCTTTTCTTTTTTTTTTTTGTTAATCCTCACTTGAGGATATTTTTCCATTGATTTTTAGAGAGAGTGGAAAGGAAGGGGAGAGACAGAGAGAGAGACATTGATTGCTTGCCTCCTGCAAATCCCCCGACCGGGACTGGGGATCAAGGTACATGCCCTTGACCAGAATTGAACCCAGGACCCTTCCTTCTGAGGGCCAATGCTCTGCCCACTGAGCCAACAGGGCTAGAGCGAGCACCTTCCCATGTACCTCTTGATCATCTGTATGTCTTTGGGGAAGTTGTCTCTGCAAGCTCCTCTGCCCATTTTTTAATCGGATTGTTTGTTATTTTGCTATTGAGTTGTATGAGTTTTTTATACTAGTACATTTTGGATATTAATCCCTTATCAGATATATGTTTTGCAAATATTTTCTCCCACTCAGTAGGTTGTCTTTTTTATTAATGGTTTTCTTTGCTGTGCAGAAGCTTTTGAGTTTAATGTAGTTCCACTTGTTTATTTTTGCTTTTCTTGCCTTTGGTTCTAGTGTCAGATCCAAAAAATCATCACCAAGACCAAAGGCAAGAAGCTTACTGCCTATGTTTTATTCTGGTGTTATGGTCCCAAGTCTTACATTCAAGTCTTTAATCCATTTTGAATTGACTTTCAGGTATGGTGTAAGAAAGTGGTCCAGTTTCATTTTTTTGCATGTGGTGTCTCGTTTTCCCAGCACCATTTATTGAAGAGACTTTCCTTTCACCAGAGATAATTCTTGGCTTCTTTGTTATAAGTTAATTGGCCACAAATGTAATAGGTTTATTTCTATTTCTAGGCTCTGTTCGTTTTCATTCATCTATATCTGTGTATTTATGCTAGTACTGTACTGGTTTGATTGCTGTAGCTCTGTAGTATAGTGTGAAATCAGGAAGTGTGATGCCTCCAGCTTTGTTCTGCTTTTTCAAGATGGCTTTGGCTATTTGAGATGTTCTGTGGGTCCATACAAGTTTTAGAATATCTTTCTATGAGTATCTTAGAGTTTTCGGAACACAGGGCTTTCATCTCCTTCATTAAATTCATTCCTAGGTATTTTATTCTTTTTGATGCAATTGTAAATGGGACTGTTTTCTTAATTTGGCTATTGACCTGAATAATGTCTGTTCCCATATAGCCACTGCCTCAGTTAAGGCAGAGAACATTTTCATCTCTCTAGAAAGTTCCTTTTGCCCATTGTCTTTAATCTCCCCCCTCTCACCCCACCCCATTTATCTAATTGTTGCCCCTATAGATTAGTTGGGCACAGGCCCAGGTTGTGAGCTCAATCCCCAGTGGGGTGTGTGCAGGAGGCAGCCGATCAATGATTCTCTCTCATCATTGATGTTTCTATCTCTCTCTCTTCTCCCTTCCTCTCTGAAATCAATCACTCAGTGTTTTAAAGAATACAGTTGTAGCCACATAAAGAGGTGGGGCAGAGGGTGGGATCTAGGAGGGTCCTGAGCGCAGGGGCCTCTGTCTGAATGGAGCTGGATGTGCCACCCTCCCAGCACGTGATGCAGTCACCAGCCCGGAGCCCACACTTGCCTGCATGACCCACACACCCTACCTGTTTTTATTTTGTTAGCAGCACTCATTTGTAAACCTCACCAAAGATTTCCGAGGCAGTGTGTGGCACCATGAATTAAAGTGGCCTCTTCAAAGTTAACTTTTACTGACCTCAGTGGATTTGGGTGCATGAGGGTAGATCCGCGTGACGCACGCGTTTCCATATGTCCAAACACTTCAGCAGCTTGACCTCGTTCTGGCTGCCTGACTCGGAACTTGTTTACCCGACTGGAAGTCAGAAGATGTACCGAGTGAAAGACCAGAGTTTTATACTTCCTGGAGCAAATTCCAGAAATTGTATTGTGGATGTAGAAAGACAATCCCAAGTCTGAGGAATCCTGTTCCACTACATGAGGAGGCCGGCAGCTTGTTTTTCTGGTTTGACTTCCTGGGGCTTGATTTGTCTGCCCTGTCACTAGAGCTCTGTGCCAAGGGAATTGTTCCAGGACCTGCACGGGCTGCGGCAGTTTTAATGTGTCGCTCACCCCTGGACCCGCTTCCTCCGGGGCCGGGATGAGGAAGTGGCACCAGGGCCCACCGTGACAGGTGCCCCCAGCTCTCAGGGGAACTCTGCTGCTTGGATCTCCTGTCTCTCTCCTAGCTGGCTTCCATTTCTCTGTGTGCCAGTTTGAGAAACACAGAGCTTTCCTTAATGTACAGTTGTTCTTCACAAGAAAAGGTAACCGAACATTTTGCTGTGGACTTTGTTTCTTTGATTGAACGCCGTTTCTGTGCTAGGCTTGGGGACCGTCGAGGTGAGTGAGACCTAGGTCCTACCTTGTGGAATGTACAGCCATTTGGCGAGGCTACGGTACCAAGACATCAAAAAACTTCTATTGTTGGGGTAATCTGCCTACATCATAATGCAATTTCTGGAATAGCCAATTTTTATTGATATTAGTTGAAGCACATCTATTAATGGTAAATGTCATCATAAACCCATGTGATTGTACTTCATTTTTTTAAGGCCCAGTGAGATCAGCAGCAGCTTTTACTGCCCTCTTCCTGCCAGAGCCACACTCCCCTGTTTGTATAACCTTCTCCTTCCCGCCACCCTGCAGGCTGCTTTCCCTTCAGATCCCTCCCCTTCCTTAGTATCCATCTCAACCTTTGGTGTTCTTAATTGCATTAATGACATGTTATTAATTTTTTTTACTTGTTTTTTTCAATATATATATTTTAATTGATTTCAGAGAGAGGAAGGGAGAGGGAGAGGGAGAGAAATGTCAATGATGAGAGAATCATCAATTGGCTGCCTCCTGCACGCCCCCTACTGGGGACTGAGTCCACAACCTGGGCATGTGCCCCGCCCGGGAATCACACTGTGATCTGATTCATAGGTTGACACTCAACCACTGAGCCACATGGGCTGGGCTGGGCTTGCTTGTTTTTTCTTTTTTGTTTCCCTCCTTAAGACGTACGTTTCCACAAGGGCCAGACCACAGCTGTTCTTATTCCTCACGCTGTTCCCATTTCCTGGCACACGGATGTGGCCGTGGCCATCTCTCAGGTGAATAAACCTTGCCTGACCACTCAGTGGAGCCGGCAGACTGGCCCCCTTGTCTTCCACCGCCTTCCTGCTTGATGCTGCCGCCCTGCTGTCCTGCCCTCTCGTCACACTTGCCTGCCTCTGTTGTGGCATTATCAAGGCGTATTTCCCGTCTTCTTAGGTCCCCTCCAACCAGACAGGTTGCTCTTTAGGCAGCAACTTTTCTGGAATACATGGGAAAACTCGTATTGACGCTTGTGGTGGCGGACTTTCATTTTGTAGCTCACAAATCTCTGTTTTCAGGCCTCTCTTCCTTGAGCTCCACAGCTGTATTACCATTCACCTCGGGCCCTTGCCTTGATCATCCCAAGATGATCTTACTGTGCCTCAGTTTCCTTATCTGTAACATGGGGACAATAAAAGTTAGTACTCATAGGGCTATTGTGAGAGTAATGATACTTGCAAAAAGCTGAGAATGGTCAGAGTTGGCTCTATTACTCCTCGGCTTGCCCAGCTGCCCCACTTCCCTGCCTTCCAGGATGGCCCCTGACTGGAACACTTAGGATGGAACACAATGGCATTTGGTAGCATGTTCCAGCTGTGTTGTTGTGATGTTGTGACACAGTGGTGCCTAGATTTGTTACTAATAGTACATAATGTGCTACAGTTTGTAAATAATCTACCTTATCTTTTTGATAAATTAGAGAAGATTTAAGGTTATGCCTTTGAACTCATCTCTCCATTACTCTTGCTCTCCTGTGTTGCCGGGCTAAGGGGGAGGGGATGTGGCATTACAGCTAGTCCCTCAGGATGGTCACATGACACTGCTTATCTGTCCTGGGCCTGAGCCTGCAGTGCGTGCTGTGATGGATATGTCATAAATACTCAGGTTGCACATCACTGGGATTCTTCACCTCCTCACAGAATTAATTTTGGTTTAATCAAAACATGGGTTTCCCTGGCCAGCGTGGCTCAGTTGGTCAGAGCTTCGTTCTGTACACCGAAAGGTCGCAGGTATGATTCCTGGTTAGGGCACATACCCAGGGTGTGAGTTCGATCCCCGGTCAGGGTGCAGTCAGGGAGCATATGTGCTGCAACCAATCAATGTTTCTCTCTCATAGTGATGCTTCTCTCTCTCCCTCTCTCCATTCCTCTCTTTCTAAAATCAATACCCTTATCCTCAGCTGAGGATTAAAAAACACACACACAAATTTAAATGCAGGAGGCAGCCAGTCAATGATTCTGTCATCACTGATGTTTCTCTCTCCCTCTCCCTTCCTCTCTGAAATCAATAAAAATATATTTTAAAAATTTAAAAAGCATCAACCAATAAAAAACTATGGGTCTAGTCTGTAGTTCTGGAATGTGGCCTGTCACAGTGGCTGATTTTGTGGTACATGTCTCTACTACTGGATTCCATGCTGTGTTTGGTAAGCTTAGATTTCTCTTCTTTCCCCTCGATCTCTCCAATGTATTGTCTGGCTCTTTATGGGAGAATAAATGTCAACTCCAGCCTATTTGAACAGTATAAAACTTTGATGGGTTTTATGGAACAGATAATCTGGTAGCAGCTAACATTTGTTTAGCCCTTTATAGGTTTAAACCACTCATATTATTTTAATTCATTTATTACTTGGTAGAGCCTTGTGGAAACTAGAATAGAAAAGCTCCTGTTATTCATACTTTAACGATAAGAAAAACTGAAGCTCAGGAAGGTTACGTAGGATCTTGTTCAGGTTTCACTGCGAGTAGGTGCTAATATGAGGATGTTCATTATTTCACTTATTTAGCCGACAACATGTGCCCACTGTGTGTTAGCGACTGTGAAGGTCATGGTGGTAGAGAGTTTAACCAGAATCTTCTAACTCTGGATTCTGTGTGCTGTCTCTTATAGAGGACTAGAGACCCAGTGCACGAATTTGTACACGGATGGGGTCTGGCCAGCCTGGACCAATCGGGGCTGGGCCAGCTGGGGAGAGGGGCTGCAGAAGGTTGGCTGCCCAGCCCCCCCTCTCCCCTCCAGTCGAACTCCCAGTCGAATTCCTGGCCAAGGAAACAATTTGCATATTAGGCTTTTATTATATAGGACTAGAAGCCCGATACATGAAAGTCATGCAAGGGGGTTGGCCCTCACAGTCACTGCGGCTTGCCTTGGCCCTCGCAGCAGCGGCTTCGTCCGGAAGGATGTCCAGAAGGTTGTTTGGCTGTCCAGTCTAATTAGCATATTATGCTTTTATTATAGATGCTCACTGTGTTATGGGTTATAATAATTTAGCCCAAGTGTTACCCTGAAGGCCCAGCTTTCTAACCGTGGTGCTGACAGGAGCCCACTGCGCCACTGTGCACTCCCGAGCGTCCTTCTCCCTGCCCCGGGCTGATCTGTGTCCTTCTGTTACCTGTGAAAATGACTGCCTCCGCCCTTCTACTTGCAGGATTATCAGAATAGTTTGAATGATCTCAATACAGTTCTCCGGCTAGACTCAAGTATTGTGGAGGCCAAGATGGAACTGGAAGAGGTGACCAGATTCCTTAATGTGAAGGATCAGGCAGCATCACTCAACAAAGAAAAGGAGAGAAGGAAAATTGAGATTCAAGAGGTATTTGTGTTTGATTATCTTTGAAAGTACTTTTTGGGGGATGTTATATTAGATTCTAAGGTCATGTTCCTGTGAGTTCTATCAATTTCTTTTACATTTTGTGTTTTTTTATTCTGATGCCCAATGAAGAAATTTAAACCGTTTGTAAAGACAAACTTTTCCTGTGCCGTGGTTTAGCCTCTTTTCTCCTGGTTTGGTCATGGACGGTACTGGGAGTCCGCATTAGGTTTTTCCGTTGTTTGCCCCTGTCCCCCACTCCCTCCCTGTCTGGCCTGTGTTTTGTATTGCTTCCACGCCAGACTGTGCTGGGAGCCTATGGCCACTGAGCTTTGCTTCAGGGTAGACCCAGAAAATGCTGACAGGACTGATTTTGTTTCAGTGGTCCTGGCAAGCCACATGCCATAGAGATTTTCCAGTTTGATTCAGACCTTTTAGCACTCTAAGACTGGCCTCCTCAGAGATTTTTGGACTACGTTTGATTTCAGATTAAATTGGTGTCTTGTGCGATACAGCTTTCTGCTTTGCCTTCAGTGAAGAATATCAATCATGAATTCCTGTGTATTCATGAATACTAATATATCATATTACATTTCCATTAAGAGTAAGGAGCTAAAATGTAAGAGGCTAGGAAGTGTTTTTCCTTTAAGGATGGAAGAAAACTGTTTTAAGAGAATTGAAAAATAAGTTTACTTCTTTATTAAATGTAAAGAAATAACTAAAAGTATGAAAGATAAAGTTGTTATAGGTCTTCTTTTATACAGCAGCTTTATTCATGGAAAATTATAAAAAGAGTCCTGGCTGGTGTGGCTCAGTTGGTTGGGCGTCATCCCATGCACCAGAAGGTTACTGGTTTGATTCCAGCACATGCCTGGGTTGCAGGCTCGATCCCCAGTAGGGGGTGTGCAAGAGGCAACCGATTGTTTTGCGCTCTCTCACATTGATGTTTTTCTCTCTCTCTCCTTCTTCCTTTCTTTCTCTCTAGAAATCAACAAACTATTCTTAAAAAATTTTTTTCAATATTAAAAATATTTTAAATTTAAAAAATGCTTTTATGAATGAATACTAGTACCTTAAAACATCTCTTCCTCAAAAAGTAGATCTTACGATTACAGACTGCACATTTTCACTTACGAACTTGACTAAATACAGTGTTCTTGTGTTTTTCAGTTCCTTCCCATTTTAATAAATGTAACGTGGGATGTGTGCAGTGGCTGTTTGTGTCAGGGTGTAATTGTTTTTCCTTGTGAAGGTGAATGAAGGCCACGAAGAGCTTGGAAGGACCCCCGAGGAGGTCTGCACGGGCTGCCCTGCCTCTGAGGGGGACACCAGCTGTGGGCCACCAGGACACGATGAGAAACTGCCCATCACCAAGCCCAGCAATGCCTATGAGTTCGGGCAGGCGATGAACGCTGTCAGTGCTAGAAAAGATAAAGCAGCCTGTGCACATCTGTTAGCCATCACTGAGCCGAAGGATCTGCCAGCGTTGCTGAGTAACAAACTCGAAGGGGATCTATTCCTCCTCCTCATTCAGTCTCTGAAAAGTGAACTTATTGATAAAGATCCCTCATTGGTATATCAGCATCTTCTATATCTGAGTAAAGCAGAAAGGTTTAAGGTAAGTGCCAGAGTATCTCATTGAAAGAGACTGATTTTTACAGGCTTTCTACAACTTTGACATGTTAATGTTTTATGCTAATATAATTTTTCTCCTTCTTTCAGATGATGTTGACCCTAATTAGCAAGGGCCAAAAGGAGCAAATTGAACAGCTTTTTGATGACCTCTCGGACACACCAAACAAACATTTTACTTTAGAAGATGTACAGGCCCTAAAAAGGCAGTATGAGCTTTAAATCAGGATTATTGTTAGATCTCTTCCATGCATGCATGTGCTCCAGTAACACTAGTGAGATGGTATTGTCATACAGTTGCATGGATAAAACCTTGCTTAGAAAAGATCCCTGGGTCTGGACTATAAAATATTTTACTTATTTTTATACATAGAACATGTATATTCTACAAACTGCTTTTTATCAGTTGTAAATATTTTCTTATGTACCAGAGCTAACATCTTTATATTTAATAATAAGTATATTTGGAACTTATTCAGATGCATTTTAATTTATATCATACATTTCCTTTAATAACTTGTTAAAAATTTGAGTTAAATTGTATTTCTTTGGGCTATGAAGGCATCCACTTAGGTTTGACAGAAATATATTTCTTTAAAATGCATTTTTAAAAGTGAAAATCATTAACAGTGATTATGTCACCTTTATTTTCGGCTAACACATACATATAAGTCCCATTTTATACTACTTGTATATTACAGTCTGCTAAGATAAAATGCAATACTTAAATCCATAATATGAAATGATTATTAAATAAATTGTGATTATCAATTTAAAGCTATAAGAGGAACTTATTTTTTCTAATACGGAAGCATTGCCTAATTATTAAGAACAAAAATTGCCAAAAATTTCTACCACTTTTTACTAGACTTTAAAAAGCTCCTTTCCCTTATAAATTGCTTGTATAAGCAGTAACAAAACAACAAATACTTAAGAGCAAGCTAAGCCTTCATTTCTGTTTGCATTGTCAACCCCATATTTCCCCAAATATTTAAATGTCTTCTTGCCCCTCTTTTATCCCTCTTTTAAGCAGGACCATGTTTATTCCCTTAATGTCAAAGGAAAAGTGAAGAACTCTTGAAGCTCTTTTGTTAATGGAGGGTAAAGGTATTTCTTAAAATAAAACATTCCGGTTTCTATCAGTATACCATCAAACATATTCCTGTAGTCTTCAGTCAGTTCTCTTTTTCTGGAGCATTTTCTTGTTTTTTAAAAGTGAAGATAAAAGAAGAATATCTAATTGCTTTATCTAATTGTTTTATCTAATTTTTTTATAATAGAATATTTTTAATTTGTTTTATTGATTTCAGAGAGGAAGGGAAATAGAAACATCAATAATGAGAGAGAATCATTGATCGTCTGCCTCCTGCACACACCCCCCCAAAGCGGATCCAGCCCACAACCCAGCATGTGGCCTGACCAGGAATCGAACTGTGACCTCCTGGTTCATAGGCCCAAGTTCAACCACTGAGCCACGCCAGCTGGGCTCATTACAGAATATTTTAAATATTGTTGTGGGTAAATGGTATCTTTCAAAACATGCCATTTTTCTTTTAAACTTTTTTGTTCATAAATGAAAATCTGTAATAGTATTTAGTTCTAGTCTTCAAGCCAACAAACAAACCAGTTTTCTCCTTTGTAATACTATTAAATTTGTGTAAAAGTAAGTGATGGAGTGTGTTAGTTACTTTAGAACAGGGACATAACAAGGAAACACCGCCTCCTGTTGACAGTCACATACCCAGCACCTAGCTGCTTGGGACTAAGCTGTCCGCCCGCTGGTGGCAACCTGTCCCGCGAGGAGGTGGAGAGCAGTGAGTGGATGCCTGTCTGTTCCAGTTGTGTGGGTGGCAACTAGAGAAATCCACTTCTCTCCAGCGCGGCCAGCGCACGGGGGCCACACTTCTGTTACTGAGGGGAGGAAAAGGAAAGTAAAGGAAGCAGATAAGAATGTCAAAGCGCATTAAAGGAACACGGGTCCTGCTGACCCCTCAGGACTTCATCAGGAAGTCCGTCCGCAAGCCCCTGGAATATCCCACTCGAGCTCCCCACCGGGTGCGTGGGCACCCCCAGCGCCTCAAGTGCTAAACCCGCACCCGCTCCCACTCTGTGGCCGGAGCCTTGTACTAGTACATGCCCCTGTGTGCGGTAGCAAAAGCAGATCCACTGATCAGTGCTCTCAGAAAAATGGACCAGGGTGTGCAGGCCAGGAAGAAGCTGCGAACGAGCTATAGCACCACTTTCTGGAAAACAAACGAAGTTTCCAGCAGTCAGCATGGTGAGTTATAAGAAAAGATGTAAGAGATTAAGGATTCTGCCACAAGAGGGAGCGATAAGAGTGGAACAAGTCTTCCCATTAAAAAACTGAGGAAACCTTCAGGTAGGAATCCCAACAGTCACTGCCACCTCAACTGTGATAACAGCAACACAAAACTACAAGGAACATGACAGATCAAGAAAATGTCACCCCCAAAAGTCACACAGCACTTCTGCCTCCACTCTCCTGTCACAGGGCGCTGACCCATCACAAAGAGGCAGAAGAGTAGTCTTGCCTTTGCCAGGAGGGGAAGAAAACCAGGTGTTGGTTCAGACAGATAATGCCTCCCAAAGGAACTACTTGTATAAGTAAATCTCTGGTATTTCTACCATTTTATATGCAACGTTACTGTGCTGCTCACAGACTTTTCCCTGCTCCAAATGTTCTCTCCTCCCTCCCCCCTCCCCCAAACCACAGGCTAACTCGATTCTTGGCCCTCCTTTAAAACCCAGTGCAGTGTCACTCCCAGCTTCTCCTCACCTGCCCTGGCTGTGAAATGACCCGTGAGCTTTCTCAGTGCCACGTGCGTGGCTCTGTCAGCTCTAACCATGGTTTTGGTGGTTTGGGTTGGCTTATCCGTGACAGAGACTGTCTGGCTTAGTTCTCCATATTGTTCAGCAACATGCCTGGCACAGTAGAGAGTCAATAAATCATCTTTGATGAGTGAGAAGCTAATTACTAACTTCTATCTCAGTAGACTGTTAGCACTTGGATGTGATGGGTTGCTGTAAAAGAAGTCTCAAAGAAAGTAACTCTATACCGAGTGCAGTGCGGGGGATTTCCCAGCAAGTTCTTCAGCACCTTGTAAGCGAAGTTTCTAGACCTAAGAGTGAAAGACATAATACTACAACAGAAAAAGGGGGAAACCCAAAGGCCCTTAACTCTAACTGACAGTACCCAGAGGTATGACACCCAAGCAGATTACAATCACTGCGCTTAAGTTTACACATTACTTTTCTGTTAATCCTGAGGACATTTTTTCCATTGATTTTTAGAGTGGAAGGGAAGGAGGGAAGGGGGGAGTAAAGAGAGACAGGAACATCAATATGATAGAGACACATGGATTGGTTGCCTCCTGCACGCACCCCAACTGGGACAGGGATTGAACCTGCAACCCAGGTACATGCCCTTGATGGGGAATTGAACCCATGACCCTTTGGTGCGTGGGCTGGTGCTGAAACCACTGAACAACACCAGCCAGGGGAAGTTTACATATTTTTAAATGATTGAGAAGTAAGTATCTGGGCTGGCATGATGGTTGCTTCAAATAACACATAAAATTACTTCTCAACTGTATATAATATAAGAGACTGTCACTTCTGGTTCATGGACCAGATGAACACCCCTTGTGAATACAACCTGAATATATGCCCAGCCAGTGTGGCTCAGTGGTTGAGTGTTGACCTATGAACCAGGAGGTCACGGTTCAATTCCCAGTCAGGGCACATGCCCAGGTTTCAGACTCGATCCCCAGTAGGGGGTATGCAGGAGGCAGCCCATCAATGATTCTTATTGATGTTCCTGTCTCTTCCTTTCTCTCTGAAATCAATAAAAATATATTAAAAACAACAGAACGTGAATCTAGGGCTCCACATCTAACTGTGTACCATCAGTTCGTGTCCAGGCTCTTCAGTTGTTACCACACGATCCCATGATCCACTACCCTGGTCATCCTCAGCCGCCTGACCTTAACAGAAGGAACCTCTCCAATCAGTTTCCCTTCCTTTGACTTATCACCAATTTTTTATTAGCCAGTTGGCACCACTCAGGCCAAAAGGACCACCCTAAAGACTGATGTGGAGGCCATATAATCCTGTCTCAATTCTCTACATGAGGCAGGGGTGGGGAACCTTTTTTTCTGCCAAAAGCCATTTGGATGTTTATAACATAATTCTTGTGTCATACAAAATTATCAACTTAAAAATTAGCCTGCTCTGTTTGGTCAAACATTTAACTCCCCCCTAATGCCTTGGCAGGGCCAGACCAAATGATTTCACAGGCCTTACAGAGCCCTCTGGACGTTCCCCACCCCTGACATAAGGGATGTCTGTTAGCAGAAATCTCTGCCTATTGAGTACAATGCATTTGGTCAAATTTGAAGGTTTTGATGTCTCTAGCCAAAAGTTAAAGGAGATGGTAGAAAGATTGATGACAAACAAGCAGGAGATAGAATACAATAGATTCCCACAACTGCCTTCTCTTTTCTTCTCTAGCAAACTGCTTTCGAGCATAGACTATGGCATCAGAAAAACCTGGAATTAAACCTCAAATCCGTTTAGCCTCAAAGACTAGGTTCCTCATCTGAAAAATGAGGCAGGATATACCAATTCAGGGCTGTAATGCTACGTAGTTCGTGTAAAATGCCAGTGGTGCTTAATAAGCATCTTTCATGTGTATAATTGCTTTCTTCCCGTAAGTCTAATGATCTCATCTCTGTTGTTAGAGAAAAGATTAAAAAGCTCTTTGGAGATACTATGTGCACTTTCATGTTTACTTACTGGATAAGAAACACACATGAAGACCCCTCCAATAGTAGTAGTATAGCCAGGGAAGTGGCTGGCCTTGCAAGGCTGGTGCCATCTCTTGGACATTAGTCACGTTAAAACGTAAATCTGCCAAAACTGGTTTGGCTCGGTGGATAGAGCGTCGGCCTGCGGACTGAAAGGTCCCAGGTTCGATTCCGGTCAAGGGCATGTACCTGGGTTGCGGGCACATCCCCAGTAGGAGATGTGCAGGAGGCAGCTGATCGATGTTTCTCTCTCATCGATGTTTCTAACTCTCTATCTCTCTCCCTTCCTCTCTGTAAAAAATCAATAAAATATATTTTTTAAAAAAAAACAAAAACACACACATGTAAATCCAAGAGTTTTCTCCACAAGTTGAGCTGCACTGAGAACCTCTCTGTAATAGCATGTGTCTTTCTTTTCCAACCTGTCACGTTTTGGGGTGAGCCAACACAAAGAGTGGTACATTCGGAGTCTGGCATAGGCTGGTGGGTGCTTAGGAAGTGTTGAATGAATGAGTCTAGAGGACCACTGCCCTAAAACGTGCTCTGGGATCCAAAATTCAGATCAGAGAAGTTCCTATGACTGATAAGTTTACAAAGACATTGTAAATATTTCTCGAGTAGTTCTTGGAATATTTGCATCAGGATCACTTGGAAATCTTATAGAGCCTAAGAGGTAGGGAATCTAACTTCTAAAGCATCTATTGTGATTCGTAGGCAACTTGGAATATACAACCCACTGTCCTAGAAGCTGAGGAGTGGGCAATAATATCTGACTTCCATAAGCGTTATAAATGAACAAAACTATTTATGGCCCTGAGAATAAAGTATAGTGGGGCATAAATAAAAAGGATAGCTCCTCCTTTTATTGAGTTTATATGATTAATTTGGGAAAACAAAACAAAATAAATCCAAGTTCAAGATACTCTAGTATAGCGGTTCTCAACCTGTGGGTCGC